CCAGAGAGATGAAAACAAGCGTTCCAACAAAACGCTGCTGCATATTCACAGCAGCTCTACTCAGTGGCCAAATGTGGAAACAACCCAAGTGTCCGTCACCTGTGAACAGGGGAAAGTGGCCGCTCCATACAGTGGACAGTGCTGTTCAGTCATAAAGGAATGAAGTTCTGACACGATGCTCAGGGAAGAAGCCGACACAGAAAGGCCACGTCACATGACCGCCTGACAGGAAAGGTCCCGGAGAAGTAACCCATAAACACAGGGTGCAGGCGGCTGTCGGGCTGGGAGGGGCAATGGGCTGACCGGGTTCTTCTTCGGTGATGACAACGTCTTGGAACTAGACGAAGTGATAGTTGTGCTACACTGTGAATGTACTAAATGCTACTGAGCTGTTCACTGTAAAATGGTTAGCGTTCGTTGTATGATGTGAATTTGACCTCAATTAAAACAACCAAATAAGAAATGACTTTTAAGAGCAAACACCTTTGCCTCCCTCTCCTGATAATTCCATCCTGAAGCCATCAGTCTGGCAGGGAAGGGCAGCACCACAGCAGGGACAGTGTCGGACACGCAGGGGGATGGGCACCGGCAGGGGGCTGCCTAGCCTGGGAGCCCAGAACCTGAGCGGGCGAGGGCAGCCCCTTGATCTGTGAGAAATAAACGTGGCTGATCAAACCCCACCCCTCGCTGTCTTCTGTTGGTTCCTTTATTGTTATGGTTTTCACTGATGTTATCTGCAACCTGGGGGCGGGGGTCTCATTTGTTAGTTGTCCTTGTTCCACTGAACTAAGTGGTTTCTGCACCGATGGCGACCGAGCCCAGCGCCCAGCAATCGCTGGTGAAGGGCACCTTTTCACAGACACCCAGTGGAGAGAGGATAGAGCCACAGGACACCGACAGGGACACCTCACCATGAGGGGGACAGGAGGCGAGGGCAGGGAAACTGGGAACCCTCAAAACTTGGCCCTGGTGCCAACCCTGAATCACTTTCCCAGCGGAAGACAAAGCTCGGTTTCAAGTTTCACTTGAGAAGCAAAAGCCGCAGCCCAATCGCACAGGAAGGGCAGAGGGGGGTAGGGTCCCGCAAGAACCTCTCCCCTGCTCTGCTGTGTCCCCAAGGCCCAGTCCCCCAGGGCAAGAGGAATCCACTTCCCTGCCCCTTGCCCCACAGGCTCCTTGGGGACAGGCATCGGAGGGAGGAGCTGGGGCTGTGTGCCAGGCACAGAGCTGCCCGCAGGCCACACACCCTGAGCCGCCCGCCGCTCCCCCACTCCCCCTCTTAAGGTCTGGAGGGGTGGCTCCAGGTGAGGACACAGCCCACAGGAGGCCTGGGAGGAGAGGGGCAGCAGATCCCCTTCTGGCCCCCTCCCTGAATTAAAGCAGCTCCAGTTCCACAAAAAGTGAAATTGTGGCATCACTGGAATAAGAAGCAAGTGACAATGTGGGCAATGAGTTATTCGACTGCTGGATGAGGTAACAATCCACTGATAGTCTGAGGGCTTTTGAAGTGAGAAACCAAAGGCATCACCTGAGATAGACAGCTCAGCGCCAGCCCCGCCTCCTGGCACGCACAGCGGCGGCGGGGCTGGCCGGCTCATGCGCCCCTGGTCCAAGAAGGGGGGTCCAGCCCAGCTGGTAGGCTCTGAGTGCAGGGGGGCAGGGCCTGGAGTCCTCCTCCAGGCTGACAGGCCTGGCCTCAGTCCACAGAAAAAGCGCCTTGAAAGCGAGACACCAGCCAGGAGCCGGAGCTCAGGCCACAGGGTGACCCTGCTCATCACGGAGACCTGGGCAGAAAGGGGGGCTGCGGAAACAACGGGCGTCCCACAGAGAACACGGACGAGGAAGGACAGTGCCACCAAGTGTGCCTGTCAGTCCAGGGCCATCTCAGGACCAGGGCTCCGGGAGCCCAGACACAACCCAGTCAGGAACCCCGTCACGGAGGAGCACACGGGGCTGAGGCACAGGGCACAGCGCTGGGGTCCCCTTCCGCTCGGCCCTCTCAGCAAGAACTTGGTGAGCAGTGTGTGAGCATGTATCTGTGCGCACACGCACACGCATACACACATAAGCTGCCATAAGACACTTGAAGCTGCCCTGCCCTCCAGGAGCCTGGAATCTGCTGAAAGGGACCCCACGGCGATGCCACCCTGTGCTCCTGAGGCAGCAGCCATCCAGCCTGCGCCCCACCCCACTGGCCTGAGCTCCTCACATCTCACAGGATCCCTGAGGGCACAGCTCACACCTGGGGAGGCCTGAGACAGCCTCAGCCCAGGAACCACCCCTGGGGCTGGGCCACGGGTGCAGAACCTTAGGAGGGTGTTAGTTCGAGAACTGAACACATGTGGTCTTGGCAGCTGGTTAGGACTCTCCAACAAGTAAAGTTAGAGACACTGAAAGGATGCCTCTGAACTTCTGTAGTTTTCCTCTCCTTTCTCCTTTCCTCGTGAGGCAGCGCCAGAAGGAAAGCAAACCATTAAGATAAGAACCATCTCATTTCCTCGTAAGTGACCCGTTTCCTACGAAGGTGTCTGCTCTGACACATGCCATCCCCCCACCAGCACGGGGAAACCCACGAGCGGATGCCCAGCACATCTCCCTCCGACAGGACGGCTGAGGCCGCCAGGTAACCCAGCCAGGTAACCACCAAGTCACAAGGGAGCAAACGGTGGACCCCAGACCTGAGTCAAGCAGCTGGCACTGAGCACAGCCGTGAGGACGGTGCTGCCACGAGGACAGAAGGGGAGGGGAGGGCCAGTGACGGGTGGTGACGGAGAAGAGGATGGGAAGGAAGGTAAGCTGCCCAACACGGTGGAGCAGAGTCGCCGAGCCGCTCCAGGCCTCACCTTAGAGGCAGGACGGGCTTTCAGCCCACACACCAGGGGGACAGGTGTCAGGTCACAGCAAAGATCTGATGCTGCAGTGGGAGCCTGCGGCACTGACCCCCTGCAGGCTGTGCTGCTGGGACGCCCATCCCTCTCACACCCAGATCCATCCCGGCCCAACAGGCAGGAGCTCAACTGAAATCCTGACCACGTCGGTCCCCTGGTGCAGCTCGCCGCTGTCAGCACCGCGCAGGGCAGCACTTCCTGCTGGGCAACCCTCGCGCTGCCTGGGGATCCTGCTCGGCCCTCGGACGGGGTGACTCCCCCAGGGCTGCCCGACTCTGAAAACAGGCTCCCAGCAGCCGGCATTCGCAGGCTGGACGGCTAAGGGAGGCAGCGTGCTCAGCACAGCCCCACTCCATAAATGCTCAGGAAGCAGACGCGCACAGCACTCACCGTCGAGTCCAATGTCAGGGAGGTGGCCACTCACTGTCGAATTCTGACCACTTGTCTGTACGCTTGAAATGTTTCGTATTAAAATGTTGGGGGGAAAGAATCAGGAATCAGAATGGCACCAAACTTTCAACAGCAGTGCTGCCGGCGAGATGCCCCGAGAACATTTTCAAACCTGCAGGTGAAGGACTCCAGGCCTGGGATTCTCTACCCAGCCGAACAAACTACCAACCAGGCAGCAGGGAGAGCAAAGACACTTTCAATCAATCCTTCTCCAAACCTTGCCTCTCTTGCACTCTTTCTCAGGAGCCCACGACAGGATGACCAAAATAAAGGGTCAGTCCACAGAAAATCTAGGGGGATGAGGAAGGCAGGTGAGAAGGAGTGAAACTCATTTCCATAAAGGGAAGTCAACAGATAACACCCAAAACTGGAAGCAGCAAGGGGGGGGTGGAGGGAATGGAAGGAGCCATGGAGAAATGTTCTTGGGAATCCAGGAGGTAAATACCAAAGTACTCAGCCAAGAGAAAGTCCAGGTGGTGCCCTGGGTAGAGAGACTGGGAGGGGACAGCCTCCCGCTGAGAGGTGGGCGGGCACCCTCTCCTCACCTGGGCAGGTGAAGTACGCCCTAGCCCCGTGGTCAGCAAACTGCGGCTCGCGAGCCACATGCGGCTCTTTGGCCCCATGAGTGTGGCTCTTCCACAAAATACCGACTTCTGCGCATGGGCCACGAAGTTTCAATCGCACTGTATGTGCGCGCCCGCACATGGTATTTTGTGGAAGAGCCACACTCAAGGGGCCAAAGAGCCGCATGTGGCTCGCGAGCCGCAGTTTGCCGACCACTGGCCTAGCCTTCCTGAGGACTGGACGCTTGGTCTTTGCTCTCCCAGAGTCCTGAGCCAAGGAAGACTGACCACCTCCTGGAGCGGCCTCGGAAGGGAGACGGCCTGGGGAGGGAGGACCCAGCCGCCCTCTCCAGGACACCAGGCAGGTGAGTGAAGCCATCCTGGGTCCCCCGTCTAGTGCACCTGCAGCTTGACACCACCCACGGCCTCAACACCCACAGAGCACAGGGCTGGCAGGGCGGAGGCCAGCCCAGACTCTCGACCCACATCACCCAGACATGACGCAACAGCGGGTAAGGCACCAAGCTTCGGGTGGCTTCTTCCCCCGGAGCGGCAAGGGGAGCAGCAGGGATCCGCTGCTTCCTGTGACAAGACTTTCCTCTTTAAAGTACATGATGTCGAATATGGACAGAAGTAACTACAGATATTTTTAAAGAATTCAACCCAATGGTAAAGCCTTAAGTAAAATCTTAAGCCTTAAATTTTTAAAGAAATAAACGAACAAAAAAACCCAACACAGTATGTGCCTGGGAAGCCCGGCCCTGTGTCAGGAACACCACACGTGGCTGGGTCTGACCCAGCTCACAGCCTCCCCTCCCGTCCCCAAACTGACATCACATTCCAGCCACACTAACAGTGGGACACAGCCATGGACTAAAGAGCAAGCAGTTTAAGCGGGGAGGGGGGTAAAAGGGCTCAAAAATTGTCTTAGTTATTATTTTTTTAAGAACGAAAAGGGTAGAGAGGGTGTGCGATTCCCACGGCAGCTGCAGTCCCGCCCTGCAGTGAGCTAGGCCAGCGACCGGTCCCGGGCAAGCGCCAGCAGGTCCCCGCGGGGAGGCAAACGCTGAGCCTGTCTCCCTCCCTCGCGGCTCTCGAGGAGGACGAGGGAGGACAAAGACGGCCAGGCACAGGGTAAAGGGCGAAAGGCAGCAGCTGTCTCCTTCAGACCCAGGGAGAAGACACCAGAGTGTCGGCCTCCACCGGGGGGACGTGGTTCAGACCAAATGCCGGTGTTTGCCTGTTGCTCCCTCCATGCGCTGGAGCTGCCGGAGGAAGGGCTCACGTGCTTCTTCATTACAACATCACCTATTTATGGGCGTCTGACCTGTGCCCTATTCCTCTCTATTCTAACCAGGAACACATTGGATGGACCCTGTGGTCCTGATGCCGGGCCAGCACTCCACGGCGCTACGCTGGCACTCACCAGGGAAGCAGGCAGCTTCTGGGAGGCACAGAGTGGTGCTCGGCTTGGCCCATGGGTGACGCTGCTCTGAGGCAGCTCGGTGGGTGCAAACACGTGGGAGCAAACACATGAATCGTAGCTGCGGGCAGGAGGAATATCAGGTGCATCTCCAGGCCCTGAGGGCGCAACTCCTCCACTTAAACCCCTCCCACTGGGGCGGCCGCTCAGAGTCTGAGAGCAGCCGGTGGAGAGAAGTCCTGCTCCTGGGCACTGTCCGCCTCCCGCCGCGCCTCCCGCTCCCTGCACTGCCTGCCTCCGGTAAGTCCCTATTATTTCTTCTCAAATTCACCTTTTCTTTCAAAACTACTCTCGGCTGGATCTTAAACTACCTGCTCGGCAAGTCCCTGGCTGCCCTGCTGTTTTCCGAGATTACTTAGCAGGTGCACCACTCAAAGCTGACCATGATCACAGACCTTTTCACAGGGCGACGCTGCATTCCTGGCCTGGGAACAAGCTGACCTGGGAGTTAAGTCCCTCGTTTCTACCATAAAACCCACAGTCCAAAACAGAACTCCAATTTCTATTACTGCTTATATGTTTCCTCGCCTTAAAAATAAACTATAAGTTTCAACATAAAAGATCATATATATACATAAATGTGATTATACTGCTGCTGATTTTATAGTTTCTTTAATTTTAAAACCTTTTAAAATGTTAAAGTTTAAAATAAGTGCTGTTTTAACATAAGGTTAAAAAAAAAAAAACTTAACCCAAGAGGATCCCTCTGTGTCAGAAGGAAATGTGTGTTGCTTCTCTTATAAAGGTTTGCATAAATCTGTATATTAGAACAATTACTGACCAAATTACTGGCCAAGTGTGAGACGAGACCTCGTTTGAGCACAGTCTGTCTGCATTTCTACCCTAATTTCTATTTGCATGACCAGAGTCTTCCCTGGCTTTGAACTGGTTTGGTTTTGTTTCCGTGCGGGCAGGCACCATGGGCTCCTGGGCTCTGGTGACAGCCCCCAGCAGAGCATTAAAGCTGTGCCCTCACTGTGCAGAGCGGTCAGGGACGCGGGGCCTCGGCTGAAACCAGGGGCCCCTGGCTGTTCCCTGGACCTATTCTCCCAAACCCCTCGCGGGAAGCGCCTTTCCCCTAGGTCACGGTGGTCCTGAAGGTTACCCTGCATTGTAAAGAACCAAAAGTCTGGGAAGGGAGTGGCGGTTAATCACTGGAAAAGCTCCATTGGAGTAAAACTCACAAATCTTGTTCTTGCAACACCCTAGTGGGTAGGCGACAATGGCGTGTCCCTGAGTTATGCAATAACGCCACCTCACAATATCGTAATTATAGCATGCCCTTCAGAACGTTCCACCTGACGAGGCCTCTGCCAGACTCCGGACACACCGAGGCAGGGTTTCAGTGCACAGGTTCACGGCATGATGGGATGGCTGCCCAGCCCGGCACAGCAATGTTCCATAAAGTTAAGCTATAATTACCTCTATTTTGTCCTATCAAAGTTTTTTTTTTTTTTAAATCTCCTCCTCTCATCTATTTTTCAGAGTTCAAATTCCTCAGAAACTTTTTAAACTTGCCAACCACTCACTATTCTCCTAACCACCGTCTCGGCTGCCACAGTAACTGTCCATACTTGGGAAGCCATCAGAGACAGTGAGAGGCAGTGCCCTGCTTCACAGCAGGCAAACAGCCCTGTGGCCAACTGAGACCACATGTAAGCAGTTCTGCCCGGACGCCTGGGGAGAGCGCACGCCCTGGGGAGAGCGAGGCAGGGGGAGAAGGGAGGCAGCCAGACGCTGCTCCCAGCTTTTCCCACAGGCAAAAAAGCCAATCAGCTTAGCAAAAGCAGATGTTTAAAATGCTTGAAAAGTCACAAAAAGGACACTTTTAAATGAAAAGAAAAACCTCTGTGAGGGCTCCAGCCCCTGTGCCTGTCTTCAAGTCACTGCCTCCCACTGACCTCTGCCTTCGGCGTGGACCCTGGGGTACAGCTGCTTAGTCTGAAAGGACAGGATGGTGGGGGCCCCGAGCGGAGCCGCTCAGGCAGAGCAGGGGCCACGGGCCAGCTCCCTCCGAGCCGGCAGAGACAGCCCAGTGGGAGGGCAGGAGGGTGAAAACACAGTCACAGAAACCTTGCAACAGGCAGACGTCTGAATTTGAAAGATGCTAACATGGAAAGCCAAGCCACAGGGTCCTGCTCTATTAGCGCCTCGCTATGCAGCTCTCCAGAGAAGTGTTAACTGAGAAACATGCGTCCCAGGAAAAGGAGAGGGAAGCACCTCTCACGTCCCCCAGAGAAATCTTCCTCTGAACACAACCCACTTCCTACAAACAGTTAAAGCGCTGGACTGGCCTGTTGTGGCAACAATGCCCTTTCTGGGAACACCTGACACCAGCAGCTTCAGTTCCAGTTCTGCCATCCTGTAACCCGTCCCTGGGCAGGAGAGCTCACGGACATCCATCATTCCATAGGCTGCCCCTCGAAAGCCCACAACAGCCTCACTTTTACCCCCCTGGTTCCTCTGGCGTGACTGCACTTTTATAGCCGAGTGAACTGCGCCTGTCTCCTGGGCGCCTGAAGCCGCTGTGCTTCTTGTTGTCATTAGCGACTGTGCCACCCTGAGGCCAGTTCACCCAGAGTGGCACAATCGCCACTGCTGCACCTGTGACTCCAGTGCCGGCTGTCCTTCCAGCAACGAAACCCGAGGACCCTCACCTCCCACAACACGGCACCAAGGGTCGGCCCCTGCAGCCTGTCTACTGTACTTTTGTGCCAACCGACCAGACAACAAGCAGTCTAGTCAACATTTGAGTGAAAAAGTACATATTAACATAAAACAATCATTTCCGAAAGTATTCTTTTGGGTAATACTATAACGTACATATAACTTGCCTCCTATAAATCTTTGAGAAACCTTAACCAACGTGGGTCTATTTATATTTCGCCTAAAAGTATTAGCAATGTTAGATGAGACTGCTTCTAAACCTGACATCATTTTCTTAAATCCGGAGGGAACTTTCCGCTCAGTTGCGCTCACGTGTTTTAATGCTGGAGGGGGTGGATCCGAGTCCACTCTCGGTATCGCCGGGATTCAGGGCTCGCACCTGATAAACGTTTTGCAACTGTCATCATTGGGATGGTGCTGCAGCTAGTGATGAAATCACCGGTGTTCAGGTCTCTGCCATAACACATCCTATACAACCCTGGGAAGCTGACTTGCAGAGATTCTCACGCCTCCAGAAGCAGAGAGCATAATGAGGCGTGCCACCACAGGCCCCGCTGACTTACTTATCTGGCTGGCCCGGCACTGGCTGGAGTCACTTGATGACGGGCGGCAAGGAAATTGTGCTTTTATCACCCGGAGAGTTTCTGCCCCCCAAGGTATGGACTGATCTCATAAAGAATTATTTCACGTCTCTGCTAACTAAGCGGGGACATTAGAAAGACGCAGAGCCAGGATTACGAGTGTCATCTGCTCGGCTTTGACACGGCCGTGCAACTCCTGGCCGCACGCGCTGCAGAAGAGGAGGGGGATGAATGTCTCGGGGGGAGGACCCCGGGACCCCTCTCCGCGTTGTGGGGCAGCCAGCCAGAAGTCTCCTTTCACATCCAATATGCGTCCCTCAGTCCCATCTGGAGAAACTCAGAAGGCTTAGGCTTCAGCAAAGCCTCATTCTACTCCAACCGCCTCCGTAAACACACACGTATTTGAAAGAACTGGGTGATAAAATAGCTCCACGGAGGCAGGTTGTGGGTGGGAGAGTGGTTCTTTGTATTTTTAAGAAATAAGGATACATGAGCAGAGAAACCAGTTTGCTGAGAATAAAATCAGACGGCGTTCTTAGAATTTAAGGTATCCAGTGAAAATTAAAGCTCCACCCTCCCACCTCCACCCCTCCTCCCGAAAGGGGCCCATTACCTCATCTCCCGAGTGTGGGACCCAAGCAGCTACCTTGTGCTGTGAAAGCAAGTCTCTTAGGTTCCCACACAAAGGCTGCTTTCCTGTCAGTGCGCCCCCTACCCCCACCCCCACCCCCGTGTGGAGAGGTGACTGTGTGTGAAATCCGGCCACTCTTGTTCAGGCCTTAAATCAAAGCTGCAGCTGAAAAGTTCTGTTAAATCATTTCCTTTGAACCTTGCATTTAAGTGCTTGAAAATACACAGAAGCTAGAGACCTTTTCCTTTTCCCATTTTTATGCAAATGGTAGTGCTCACACCTCAGGGCGCCTTCCCCACCCACATGTTTCTCTGGGACACAGTCACTCCAGGGCTGGTCCTCCCAGATCCACGTCTCAGTTTGGCAGGAGGCAGGCTGAGAGCCCAGGGTGTGTGTGTGCGTGTGCGGAGCCTCTGAAGGAAACTGGGCTGAGACTTGCAGTGCAGCCTGGGGGTGGGGGGTGGGGGGACCCTAAGGGAAAGTAACCTGAAGGCCAGACACCCAGCAGCCCAAGCTGGGACCCAAGGCCCTGGGAGGGACAGCCCTGCCAGCCACTTGCCAGACCTGAGTGGGTGTGGCCCAGGGCCCGCTTCCTAAAGGTTAAAAGCTGAATGGCTCTTACCATGATCCAACCGTCTCTAAAACAGGCACCATCACTGCCTTCCCCGTGGCCAGAAGGGCTGCAAGGCTCTGGTCCTGCCATTTGGAGGCCAGGCCAGGAAAGAGAGGCAGGCACCCCTGCCACGCTCTCGGCCTCGCAGAGGCATCTGTGTTTGCTGGCCAGGCAGGGGCGGGGCGCTGCATGGACCTACCCCACACCACTCACCAGGTGGGCAGTGGAAACAGGCAGTGACCAGAACCAGACGTTGGGTCACTCACAGGCTCCCTTGACAGCACCTCAAACCACGTGAGTGTGTGGAGCCCACGTCTGTCTGTACTAGAGACGACGTAACTGTCTGTGACATTAGTAGCTTTAGGGTGGGATCCAATTTGCAAAAGTATGTTTAATGCCTGCACGTAGACTACAACCTGCTTAAACAGGGCAGCCCCGGCGAGCAGTGTTTCCTGAACGTCATAATTACATGCTCCCCGTTCTAAGGGAGCACACACGCACAGCGCCAGGCCCCCGGCAGTCACGTTCAGCAGTCAGACCACGCTGTGATGTGACTCAGACCAGAAACTCTGTGGGCGTGGTCGGGGCGGGTCCCAGCCATCACTCAGCCCCTCAGTCCACAACCTTTCTGGCATCTGAGGCCTCAGGTCACAGAAACAAGGTTCCCAAAACTCAAAGAATGACAGGTATTCTCAGAACTGACACCAAACACTCCACACACCACACTCCTCTTGGCCCCAAGGAAATTCAGGTCAGATTTGAGAAAACAGAAATCGTGGTTCTGAGCGGGCAGCTCACCCTGCCCCACACCCACGGGGGTGGTTCCATCTTACATCGCCTGCATCTCCAGGTGCCTCGGGTCAACCCCCCAGCGATCACTGTGAGGACAGGGCTGCCCCACTGGCCCTCCAGCCAGTGTCCTGTCACTAAGGCTCTGCTCCTCCTTTGCAGCTCCCAGTCCCCCCGTGAGCGCAACTTTCCTGGGCAGACCCGCAGCGCGTGGAGCTGGCTTCAAGTACGAGCGGTGGGAAGCAAAGCAAGAGCACGTCTTTAAAACCACCACGTGCGAATCCAACAGGAGCCAGCTGTGAGCCGACCCCTGGAAACGGGAGCCTGAACCGGAAGAGGAAAATGAGCCTTCTCAAAGAGCGGAAGCCCAAAAAGCCACATTATATCCCCCGGCCTCCGGGAAAGCCCTTCAAGTACAAGTGTTTCCAATGTCCCTTCACCTGCAATGAGAAGTCCCATCTCTTCAACCACATGAAGTATGGTCTCTGTAAGAACTCCATCACTTTAGTCTCGGAGCAAGACCGTGTCCCCAAGTGCCCCAAGTCTAACCCTCTAGACCCTAAGCCCACGCATCAGCCGGACCCCACAGTGAAGCCCACCGCCTCCAAGTCTGTCACACACAGCCTCCCCCACTTGGACACCAAGCTCCCACTCGGCCTGGCCAAGGACGATGCCAAGGAGAATCTGGAACTGCAGCTGCGGGGGCCCCACAAGGGCCCTGGACAGAAGCCTGCTCTCCACAAGGAGGCCGAGCACCGGGGTCCAGCCCCAGAAGCCACGGCGGGCACCCCGCCTGCTCTGGAAGGCGCCGGGCGGCCGTCGGCCTTTGTTCCTGTTGGAGAGCACAGACTCAAAGGCCCAGAACACGCCGAGGCTCCCGAGGCCCTGGCACTGCCCAGCGCCACCGCCAAGGCCACCACGTTCCACACCAAGTCTGCATTCCACGCCCCTGCCTACCCCTGGAAAGCTGGCTCGCCTTTCCTCCCGCCTGAGTTTTCACATAAAATCCCACCCACAAAGGGATTTGGGGCCCTTTCCCCTTACATGCACCCCACAATTCCCGAGTACTCGCCCCACTTTTACACGGAGCATGGACTGGCCACCATCTACTCCCCTTACCGACCAGCCGGGAGCTCACCCGAGTGTGACACCCCCCTGCTGTCAGTCTACGGGGCCCAAGACCAAAGACACTTTCTGTCTCACCCGGGGCCGATGCCCAAGCACTTGCACCCGTCCCCCTTGACGTACGACCACTACCGGTTTTTCCAGCAGTACCACCCCAATCTGCCAATTCCTTATGGACTCTACAGACCGGAGTCTGCCTTCTCCTCCTACGGCCTCAGACTCCCGCCGGTCCCTGGTATTGCACAGGATCAGCGCTCTCACCTGCTGGAAGAAGCTGCCCTGGCCTACCCAGCCTCAAGTCCATCCAAGTCAAACCCTCCCCACTCCCACAAAAAGCAGACCGCGCTGGAGAAGGAGAGTCCGACCGCCGAGGCTGAAGACCCTCCCAAAGACAGGCAGAGGGGCACAGAAGGGACCAAGATGAGCCCACGTGCAGGCAGCGCGGCCACTGGCTCCCCGGGAAGGCCAAGTCCTACCAACTTCCCACAGACAAGCCAGCCCTGCACTGGGCTGGGGGGCCTCTCGGACACGCCCACGGCGAGCGCCCTGGGAAGGCTCCAGCAACCAGAACGGAGCCTCACAGCCTTCAAGCCCATCCAGAAAAGCACCGAGCGCCCACACTCCCAGGCTCCAGAAAACAGAGACGACCCCCCACAAAGGTAAGGACGTCTCCTCTTCAGAACCCCCACAGCGTGTCTCTGGCTGTGCTCCATTAGCAAGCTTAGACTCCCTCTAAAAGCATCACGCAGCCCTAGCCGGTGTGGCTCAGTGGATAGAGCGTCGGCCTGCGGACTGAAGGGTCCCGGGTGATCCTTAGTTTGATTCTGGTCAAGGGCACATACCCGGGTTGCGGGCTTGATCCCCAGTAGGGGGCATGCAGGAGGCAGCCAATCAATGATTCTCTTTCATCACTGAAGTTTCTATCTCCCTCTTCCTTCCTCTCTGAAATCAATAAAAGTGTATTTTAAAAAATAAATAAATAAAAATAAAATGAAAGCTTCACACGGCAGCTCTTCTACATGACATCCCTGCTAAGCCTTCTCTTCTCTTTGCCTCTTTCAGCCTCGATGCCATGGACATCGACACTCCGGCCTGGGCAGGCAGCAGCGTGGAGGCCCTGCCACCCAGCCCAGAGGACGGCTCCAGGATAGCCCCGCTGAACCTCTCCAAGAAACCGGAGGCCAGACCAGCAGCAGCTCACGGCCCTCTGTACACAGACTTCCCAGAGCTGCAGGACATGCCTCTCAACCTCTCGGTGAAGGACCCCTGCAATGCCCTGACCCTGCGGCCTTCCCCCCACAGCCCAGCGCCAGAGGTGGAACCTGCCACTGCTACTGATCAGAAGACCGGGCCGGAAGGTTCTGGAGATGGGCCAGGACATACAGAGACGAACCAAAACAGCCTTGGCTCTGATGAAGTTCCAATGACCAGCCCCACTGGGAAGGCCCAGGACACACGGGCCGTGGACAACAGCGACGAGCAGAAGCAGACGGCAGCCGTGGCCCTCTGCCAACTGGCAGCCTACAGCCCGGGCACCGTCCGGGTGGGCGATGGGGAGCCTATGGCCCAGGAGTCCACCTGCCAACAAGACACGCCAGCTCTCAGTGCCACGGCGAGCCAGGAGCCTCAGAGTGACCTCAGACCCAAAGGGCAGAAGAGGACAAGCCCACGGGATTCGGGGAAGTCCCAGCAGGGAGCTAAGAAGACAAAGCTGAGCGACACGGCCAGAGTGTTCACTCTCCGGAAAAGGACTCGGGTGTCCTAGTGCTGGCTCACGGCAGGAAGAGCTGGCACAGCACACACCTCTGAAGCAGGTCGCAGGGCAGCACATCCGCCACGGCCCTGCATTTTTTATCTGGTCCATTTTTACAGCAGTTTTTTCTTCTCAAAAAACAAAATACACATAAAGAGAAAAAGAAAAAAAACACACAAAGAGCTACGATTCAGCTCACTTTTTGTAAATATTAAGCATGAATATTATAAGGTGCTTCCGCTTGGGACTGTAAAAATATTTGAATGACTCATACTCTAAGACTGATGAGTTAGACACTGGCTTTTATTTTTATAATAAAATGAATGAAATAGATTGGACTAAAAGGTAACTTTCAGGTATAAGCCATGTCATAGGAAATCTTTTCTTATAAATACAATTCTTACACTAGAACAAATGGTCTCAACTGTATCATTAAATCTACTGTGTTGTGAAGTAACAATGACTGGAAATGCCAGGAGCAGCATTTTCAGCACCAGCATTAAAGTGCTGAGGACATTGTGACTTGCTGTGAGTAAATAATACACCAACATCAAGAGGCTACTTATAGAAATAATTTATTTCCAGGAGGGAAAATGTATTACTGGTGGAGCTATTATCAATACAGTCCATTCCATATAATGTTACAGTGAACTTTCTGATTCATGCAGCCTCACTTTCCACTTCCTAAAATGATGTATATATTGCCAATTTTCCAATAAACTCATAAACTTTAAGGGTACACAAAATGAAGACAAATGTGAACTCTGTGTTATATTTTAGAGTATTCTGCCATAATAAACTCAGTGAAAAAAGAGACTAGAGCTGAGGCAACAATTAAAACAGAATGAGAATGAGTGTGAGTGTGTGTGCACCTGTGAGCGTGAGAGGCGCATGCAGCCCAGTGGGCACCAAGCACAGGCATGACCCACCTGGCTCCTCTGAGCCTTCCCCCAGGGCCCTGGGCCTCGGGGCGCTGCAGGAGGGCGAGTTTCCAGAGCCTGGCTTCCTACAGGGCTGCTGAGAGGGCCGGCGGGCCTTCGAGCTCCTCCTCCCCAGCCTCTTCACAGCAGCCCTTTGTTTCTCCCACATGTACCCCACCTGGGATGTCAACAAAGGCCCTGGAGAGGCATGTGGTGCTGAGGTGGATTCACTCCAGGGACTTGGGAGGAAGTCCTCAACCAGGCTGGTGGTGGTCACCAAAATGCAGGTCCAGTGACGTCAGAGGACAAACTGCTAAAGCAAGAAAGCCATTCCCAACCACCTGTGTATGTAACAAGGCTTCTCAGCACAGAGCTAAAAAATAAAATTTTTTAAATAAAAATAAAATGTATGTAAAACTTTGCCTCATCCTAAGAGATAGCCTGAACTACCCTGGCCGGGTGGCTCAGTTGGTTGGAGCATCGTCCCATGCACCAGAAGGCTGTGTGGGTTCCATCCCCAGTTGGGGTGCATGCAGAGGGCAACTGATCAATGTTTCTCTCTCACATCAATGTTTCTCTCTCTTCCCCTTCCTCTCTCTCTAAAATCGCTAAAAACATATCCTCAGGTGAGGATTAAATTAAATTCTTCAGCAGGGAGAAGCAGCAATTAGGAAAGAGAAAGGCCCATATAAGAAGGAAGGTGAGCGAGATCTAGCACATTCTCTCCTACAAACACTGCCCGTCAGTGAGGGCACAGGCCTGGTTGTGGGCTCACACAGGCCATGCTGGGGAGATGGGGAGAGACGAGGCACCCACGTCTACAATAGTCCCGACGATTCAAAGCAAACGTACAGCAGGTACTCACCGTCCGGGAGTCGGGGAGGGAGCAGCAGGCCCCTTCTGCCCAGTTCTGCCAGTGCCAGACATCCACCATGCCAGGCGTTGTCCGTCTCCTGGAAACTGAGAGCACACAGAATCGTGAGACCACAGCGCTTTCCGCCAGGCCCCGTGTGCAGAAGTCCACACCTGATGCCCAGAAGCCTCACCAAAGCCCACCTGGGAGTCTGAAACATCAGCAGATACAGGAAATACAATACTCTAATTTAACGGGAGAGCCCTCGGCTGCTGCCCTGGGAACCACAGCCCAGCTACAAAATCAGAGTTCATAGAAATGACAAAATAAAGGCAAAGTAGTACTTGAGTTTAAACTCAGGAGGACAAGAGAAGCTACACTAAGACTGCTGGACTGGAGAAAGACCCACACACCTGACCAGAGATGTGTCTTTTGGGAGAAAAAATGTCCAATGCATGCAGGAGGGGCTTCAGGAGGGAGGCTGTGAGTGCAGCGGCAAAGGGGAGGGAGGAAGGGGGAGTTCCATACAAAGGAGCTTTAACTGACCAGAGGGAAGGAGCAGGTAAAAGAGCTAGAGGCAGACAGCCATCCCTGGAGAAGGGGCCAGAGGAAAAGCTCCCAAATCCCGTCTCAGAGCTCCGTCCTCTCTCAACAGCAAGACACTCCACCGTGGCCACAACAATGGCCACCCCCTCAGTGGCCACCCGGGGACACCTCTGCGCCCAGCAGGGTCCCAGCACCATCAGCACGCCCATCACCACGCCACCAGAACAGAACTCCAGGAAGATGCCCTCAAACAAGCCAGCAGAACTGCCAGAAAAGACAGGGGAGTCTTGTTCCTCGTCCAGGGCCCCCCAGGCCCGACAAGAAGTGTACGTTTCTGCGGGAAGTGAGATGTCTCCACGAGAAGATACCCCGGCCACATGTGCACCATTATTCTGAAAAAGATGACCCACATCGGACATCCTGTTCCCTGCACTCCTGACATTGTCACCAAGCAGGCTCCAGGCGAAGTCAAGAAGAAACCGCTGAGGAGGAGCACGGGCTCTGAGGGACGCTCGAGGAGCGGCCTCGGTGACTCACACACACACACCTGAGCACCCAGAAGCGCTGACGGTGCCCTTTCCATACTCAGCGGCAATCCTAGGAGAAAAGCCACCAGCTAATGAGGGCAGGAGTGCAACCACTGGCCTAGCAAACAGCACCCGTTCTCCAAACACCTGCTTCTGAAACCAGGAATGACACTTAAGCATAAACCCCCGGGAGTAACTGCTCACTACGCCTGTCTCCAATGCATGCGCACACACCTGGGCGCACCTTGCTGCCTGGGCTCTGCCCTGCCTGACCTGCAGGCCCCAGGCTCACACCCGTGTCCAGGGCAGGCCATCTGCCACCAGACTTCCTGCAAGGCTGGGACAGGTGAAACACAACCACCACCACGTGTGACTGTTGACATTGAAATCCGGCAAAATTAAAAACTTACAATTCAGACCTCAGTGATACCAGCCTCTTTTTATAAGTCGCAATAGTCACAGGTGGCTCGTGGCTGCCCTAGAGGCAGATCCAGAACATTCCATCATCACGAATGCTCCCTGGGACAGTGCAGACCACAGGTTCTCTCTAAGAATACCTATGTACGTATGTTCAAGACTGACTTTTTTCCTTAAGGTTTACGAAATGTAACAAAACCTAAGCTGATAAAATATATCAGAAATACCGTGAGTTCTCAAATTCACTTCAAACAGAAAAAAAAACACATAACTCTGGGGCTCTGACAAGAAGCTCAATTAAAGAAAATGCAAAAGGTCAGAGAGAAAAGCCACCACTTCCCGCCAGAAGTGCATCTCCCTCTCCCCTCCCCACCCCCGTCCCGCACGTACCTGAAACAGTCCAGCACCGACCCCACCACGTCATCCGCCAGCTCCTGGGGAAGTCTGCCAGCCACCCTGCCAATTCTGGAAGAGAAGGGCCAGGCGTTCATCAGCACCGCCAGCCCATTGTGGGGGCACATGCCAGGCCAGGAGCCATCCAGCCACGTCCCCCTTCCAGAGAAGGGGAAGGAGAGGATGACCCAAAGCCAGAGGCACACACTGCACTCCACAGTCATCTGCCCCACAGGACTCCACAAGGCTGCCACAAACACACCTCTGTGCGCCTCTAAGGTCAGATGCAAAGGGTGGGCACGCAGCACCCAGCACCTGCAGACCCTCCCGCCTGGCGGGAGGCCCCGCTTCCACAGTGGGCACCAACCATAGGCTCCCGTCAGGCTACCTGATGTGGGACCAGCATCCCTGCATAGGCCCTGCCAGGCCAGGTCCTGGCCAAGCTCCCCAGGAAGGCCCCTCGCTGCCAGCCCATCCCAGTCCAACCGGATGTGACTTTGGACTCAGAGGTTGCCCTGTGCCCCCTGCAGCCTGAGTGCTCATGTATCTGGATGATCAGCACAGAAGCCCGGGGGAACCCCTCCCCCCCAGCATCCTCACTCCATGTTATGTTTCTCCACAACAGAGGGCTCATGGACGTCTTCACCTCTACTGTGTACTTGGTACCCCCAGTGCCCTCACCCCATGGTAGATTCTGCCTTGTGGGAGGCCTGGCCCTGCTGGGCGGTGCCTTCTGTGTAGGCGTAACAGAAGATGCCGGCCAGCCCCATCCTGTGGACCCCAGGATTAAATGGGGCCTCGAGTGTCTGTGGGGGGTGAGGAACACTGGCGGGTGGGACAGGCACACTGGCATATACTAATTCTGCCCATTCTAGACAAAAAAAAACAAGGAAATAAAGGAGCCTCAAGTCAACCTCAGTGATTATCTTTAAAATGAGGACACAAAACAACAAATGTAAATTAGAAAAACCCAAAAAAAAAAAAAAAAAAAAAAAAAGAAAAACCCCAGTTCCCAGACTCCACAGGAAGTGCTGAATTGGGTGAGGGGGTCTCGTTCACAAGCCGCCAGCCCCTATACCCAGCGCTCAGCGAGATGGCGTCACCTACCCTTTGGCCGCAGACCACCGCACGACCGTGTCCTTGTCCTTCAGCCCGACCAGCAGCTGCTCTACAGAAGACAGGAAGGAAGGTTCGTGAGCACCTGAGTCACTGCCTCACCTCCCAGCCTCAGGCACCCAGCCCTCACTCCACTGGGAGAGCACCATGGAGGGAATTGTGTTAATTCTAATGACAAGAAAAGCGCATTTCCTTCTCTGTTCTAACCATTTGAAGCCAACTTTTGCCATTGTGCCTCAGAAGCACATTCACCTGAGCAGCCCAGGCACAAAGCACCAGGAAAGCCAGAGTCAACAGTGACCTGAGCCAGTGAGCAAGGCCCCCAGAAACACACAGGAGCCATACGGGGACAGGGTCTTGAGGATGGGCCCGACTTTAGGAAAAGCCATGCAAAGGCCGGACGGAAGGAAGTTGGGATGGTGTCAGAGCCCTCACGGGAAGGGCCTTGCAAGCCCAGTGGGCGGAAACCTTGACGGAGGGCCCCAGGGAAGGCCTGCCATGGAGGAGGAACAGGAGCCTGTGCTGGCGGACGAGTTCTCTGTGATGGGCAGTCTGGGACCTTGGGGGTGCGATCGGGGAGGAGGTGAGACACTGTCCTTCAGCACAGGGAGCCTGGAGCAGTGAGAGCCAGAGTAGGAGCCCATCGGTGAGAGCCAGAGACTGACCAGGAGTCGGCAGAGGCTGGCCCTGCGTGTGGGGCCTGACCATGAGGCAGGGGTGGGGAAGCAGGCTCTGGTGATGACTCTGCCGCTGTGTTCAGCAGGAACTGCCACCTGGGGTGAGAGTGGGGCCGGTGGAGAGCTCTGTGAGGTGGGAGTGGGAGGCTGGGGCCAAGGAAGTTGAGCTCGGAGCTCCAGGTGAGGCCTGGGAGTCTGAGGTACACTGGGAGTGAGGTGGAAATGAAGGCAATAGTGGGAGAATCTCAGGGTCCAGGACCCCAATAGCCACAGGTATGGATGTTCTCATGGGGATGGGGCAGGACTGAAGGCCACATGCTCAATGGACAGACACAAAGAAGGTCATGTGACAATGGCACAAATGGGCAAGTGGGGGTGCAGCCAACAGACTGACCTCAGAGCCTCCACCAAAGCGCTGCAGGGAGCAAGTGGGGCCAGAGCCTCGTCTCCCCCCCACCCAGACAGCCGCCCCGGCTGCAGGCCACACACCTAGGACACTCTCCACCTCCTCGGGGACATCATAGCCCTCCTCGCTGTCCGGAGTCTCGACGTGCGCCCGGGCCTCCCTCTGGCTCTGGGTGCTGGCCTGCAGGTTAGCAGCCAAGGAGCGGCAGCCACGCTGGTACCTGCAGGGACCACACTTGACCTTAGGCCCACTGTCATAGCTCAGAGCCTAGCAAACAATCTTGACAATGGAAATCGACAACTGAGTGTCACTCGGGATCTGCACCGAGACCACCAGGAAAAGATGACTAATCGTAGCCACAGAATCAGACCCAAACTCCCAAAGACTCAGAGTCCTCAGTGCCGGCTGTCACATCTGCAGGTGGAAAGGCAGCCGGGCGGCCTTGGAACCGCCCGCAGGCCTCATCCTCACTCACAGGGGCAGCACCTGGCCACACATCCCACCTCCCAGCCCCACATCACCTGGCGCTCCAGCCAGTCCACTGCCCTCACCCACAGACACTGCCCTTCAGCACAGGGAGCCTGTCGATTCTGTCTGCCACCCACCAGCCTCCTCCCCAACCAGGAGAGGCCACTGGCACCATCTCCCGCGAGCACAGGCTGGTTCAGCTGTATGATTCTGCCCAGCTCTTGACTCTCTTGCTGCCTCAGTTTCCCCACCTATAAAATGCCCTACACAGAGGGCTGCAACAATGACGGATGAGAGGATGTGCACCAGGCACTCAGACCAGGGCCTTTCCTTCTGGAAGGTGGCAAGCACACAGGACCTGCCTCGAGGGTGGCTGGGAGAGGCCTGGAGCATTAAGAGTGCCAAAGTCAAGTTACAGAATGAATGCTGGGGGCTGCAGCCTTAGGTCAACTCCAGAACCCAGGACTCGAACACCAGCTCCAACACTCAACTGTGGCCTTGAATAAGTCTCTTTCTGGATCTCGGTTCCCAACATAGCAGGCAGCTCTCTGGGTGGCCCACCTCCAAACAGTCACACAATCCCCTCCCTGGGGTCCCCCGGACCCAGTGACTGGCTTTTGTGGGGACATGGCTCTGAGATGAGCCATGAAGAGACCCTGGCCTGTGTCCCGCTGACCCTCCCGATCTAATAGCTGCCTTGAGGCCCCTGGGAGAAAACTGGGGGAGGAGCGCGCCTGCCCTAGCGTGGAGATGGCAGCAGCCCATCTACATCTTCAAGAAGTCTTGTGAGAGCCCCAGATAAGATGGCTCAGCAAAGCTACACCCAGACTCCTGACCTGCAGAAACGGTGATATTAAAAAGGCAATGTTTAAGCTGCTCAGTCTTAGGTTCTCTGTTATTCAGCTGTGATACTGTGATTTATAATATACAGGGTGGGAAAAAGTAGGTTTACAGCTGTGGGTATGTGAAACAGCTGTCTTTTGTTAACTTTTGTTTTTTTGTGTGTGTTTTTTTGTGTTTTTTTAATATATTTTATTGATTTTTTACAGAGAGGAAGGGAGAGGGATAGAGTTAGAAACATCGATGAGAGAGAAACATCAATCAGCCGCCTCCTGCACATCTCCCACTGGGATGTGCCCGCAACCAAGGTACATGCCCCCAACCGGAATCGAACCTGGGACCCTTCAGTCAGCAGGCCGACGCTTTATCCACTGAGCCAAACCAGTTAGGGCAACTTTTGTATTCTTTTCCATATTAACTGTAAACCTATTTTTTATGTGTTTTATGTGTGTTCCTTTCTTTTTTTTTTTTAATTTTTTTTTAACGTCTGAAGTTTTACATTTGTCTTCTTTTTCCCCAATTGACTCTCCCCCCATTCCCACCCCAGGCAAGCCCCCAGCGCCTCAGTGCCTGTGTCCACTGGATATGCTAATATGCATTCACACAGTGCTCTGGCTGCTCTCTAACCCCCTCCTCCCCTACCATTTGTCTCTGGATCTATTCTTGCTCATCAAATTATGTTGATCATTATATCCCACATATGCGTGGGATCATGTGATACTTATCTTTCTCCGACTGGCTTATTTCGCTTAGCATAATGCTCTCCAGTTCCATCCATGCTGTTGCAAATGGTAAAAGTTCCTTCTTTTTTATAGCGGCATAGTATTCCACTGTGGAGATGTACCATATTTTTTATGGTTTTTATTTGAGAAAGAGAAAGATTGATGTGAAAGAGAAATATCAACCGGCTGCCTCGTGCACACAGCCTATTGGGGATGGAGCCCCCAACCCTGACATGTGCCCTGACCAGGAATTGAACCAGCAACCTTGTGGTGCATGGACCCATGCTCAACCTACTAAGCAACACCAGCCAGGGCTGTAACCCTACGTTTGCCCTACCCAATGTATGGGGTTTTTGTCCATCTCTGGATTAAGCTGTCTTTTGTTATGCTAATGACGTGGTTTTTAGAAAGCCCCTAAGGAAGGGGGCTGGTTGCCAGGGGAACCAACCACGTGGTTTGGAGGGTTAGGAAGGGAAAGGGACTGGAGGTTGACTCACTCCCCATTGGCTAATGAGCTAATCAATTATGTCTGTGTAATGGGGCTTCCATAAAAGCCCAAAAGAATGGGGTGTGGAAAGCTTCCAGGTTGGTGAACAGGAGGTGGTGCTGGGAGGTGACACCTGGTGAGGCATGGAAGTGCCACCCGTCCCACAGCTGCCCTGTGCATCTCTTCACTTGGCTGTTCCTTTCAAAATCAGAAACACTCGAGAAGAAATGAAAGCAGAGGACACTCGACCAGTCAGTCTACTTCACCACCGCCACCAAGAACACAGAACACGGGCCCCGCCACGTGACGCTCAGGACACACACGGGCACGCCTTGGTCCACCAACCTCCACTTCGCCACCCTGGGTTTCAGGAAGGTCAGGCCCAGCCGCTGCACCAGCTTCACCCTGAGTTTCCGGAGCAGAGTCTGGTTGCTGTCAGGGATCCTGCAGCCGTCCAGGCACTTGAGAACAGTGGCAGCTGCAAACAACAGCACATGCGACTCAGTTTGGTGGAAGGATTTTACCCACCCGCTTCCAATGTGCAACATCTGTGTTGGACATCTACAGCATTTAAATCGCATCTACAGGACCCCCCGAAGGCAGCGATGGCCTCAGTTCACAATGAACCCCAAGCCCCGTGTCATGAAGACCCCTTCATCCCACGTCATTGACCAAGTGCATCGAGAGTGAACCTGCTCAACTTTCTCCGGTGACGTAGCAGATCCAGAGGTTGGGAGAAGAGAGCAGCCCAGGGGGAGGGAGAAGGCGCTCTTCTCCATGGAGAACAGCCTACGCTACAGACTACACAACATGACACACATGACTCTGGGGTCGCTGCTGTTTGCTGTTGTTTTACAGGGGAGCCAGCATCAGGCATGAGTGGTCACAGCAGCGGGGGTGAGGCTGCCTGCCAGGAGGTCTCCACGGGCAGGGAAATGCTGCCAGGGCCGCTGGGGGGAATGCGGTGGACCTCGGGGGAAGCTGAGGCCACGACGGTGATTGGAATGGCATCTCATGTGAGAGACGAGGAGGGCAGGGTTTCAAGACAAGTTGTAACAGCATCCGAGTAATTTCCTGAAAGGCCCAGTGTGCAGCCCTACCCGGGTGTGACTGACTGACTGAAAACAGACCCCTGCTCTGTGTACACAAGTCCACGGAGGACAGACAACATGTGACGATGTTGGGCAATCACTGCTCATTTTCTCAGGTGTGATAATGATACCAGGTTATGTCTTTGAAAGAGTCTCTGTTAGGGACACAGATGCAGAGAGGCAGCAGGGGGTGGGTGAGGAGCAGCAGCAGTCTGAAGCCTCGATAGGAACGTAGGGTTCACTGGACCATCATTCTCTCTGACTGTACACGTGCTACAAAGTGTCCACAATGAAAGCTCCTTTTAGAAAATAGACTCTACTAGTCAAAGCTGATTCCTATATCTTCTAGAACACAGAAATCCCTCTGCGACCAGGTAGCACACCTCTCTGCAGCCTTATTTTTATAAGTTGAAGTTCTATATAAAATTAAGAGAATGAAGAAAAAGCACAAAAGTTGTGGCCATATCTACAGGAAGAACACAGCTGTGACTGGGACCCCAGGAAGTGAGCCAAGTCACTGGAATCCAGACTCAGCGTCAGGAGCCCTGACCTCCTGGAAAAAGCCCAAAAGTCAGCTTATCCCCCCAGCGGCCCCCCCACACACAAAGCAAAAAACTACAAACCAGGACAGTGTCCTGCTACAGCATGTGATAGATTGCTGCACCTGCAAATAACACATTAAACAGATAAACTCCCATGGCAAACACACCCTCTTAAAAATGAGCCTTACCGTAGGGTAAACAGTCATCACGTTTTCCATGCTTAAATATTTGTGCCTAAGAAAAAAAGAAGTTCTATTAAAATGTTGCAGATTCATTTACAAATTTTTAAAAAATCAAGACAATCCTCTGCTCCTTCCATAATTTCTCCTCTGGCCACTCACCACCGAAAAGCAAGAGCGCAGTTTCTGAACTGATGAGAGGAGGAGTTACAGAGACGGGAGGAGAAAGCCTCCGCAAGGGCATCGTCAACAGGGTGCGGTCACTGACGGGGGCTTCATCGGGACACGTGCCCGCACTGAAGTTATCAGGAAGAGAGTAAGGCGCCTCACTAGGCTTCTATGAGTACCTGTGCATAAAGGTACCCAAGGACACAAGCTGAGGTCCAAGTGTCTCACACAGAGGTAGGACCCAAGGACTTGTGTCTGACCTCTCACCCATTCTCAGTCAATAAAGGCCTCTGGCATCGGGAGCAGAGACAAGACACCCCCGGGGCCCAGGCCTACCAGCCTTTCCACAGAATCCACACACACAACGGCTGCTGTTTTAAACCACAGGCTTGGGGGTGACATTATGAATTCCCTACTTAGGGACCATGTGAGGGACTGAAATGTCACCCTGCAGGCAAGGGGGCTACTGCCTAATCCTGGACACAGTGACACCATTACATTCTAATTGGACAGACTGACACTGCGCAGTAAGGAGGGCACGTGGAAGGGGATGAAACTAAATGTGAGGCCTTTCCAGGAAAGCTCACGAGAGGCCTGAAGTAGGACATAAAGTGTGCAGGGAAGGACGGGCAGATGCCCGATGGTTAGGGGAGAACTGACAGCACTGACTCCTGCTAAAGCACCTCTGGTCTCACTCACTAAGCAAGAATCTTAAATGCTCTGAAATGCAAAACGCTCTCACAGGTGAACTTTCTGTCTCTCTTTTAATCCTCAACCGAGGATATGTTTTTATTGATTTTGAGAGAGGGGGGAAGGGCGAGAAAGAAAGGGTGGGGGGGAGAGAGATCGATGTGAGAAACATTGATTGATCTGTTGCTTCCTGAACGTGCCCTGACCAGGAATCGAACCCGCTTTTTTTTTTTTTTGGTGTACAGAATGACGCTCAAACCAACTGAGCCAGCCACCCACCCAGAGCTAAACGTTCTTTATTTGCCAAATTCCTGACATGAACAGAACAGGAGGGCAGAAAGGATGAAAAAGGAGGAACAAAAAATCAATTAGGACAAGGACTTTGTTTTTGTTTGTGGGTGTTTTTCACCTAAAAATGGGGCCATCATCACTACCCTTCACCTGAGAGTGCTCCGAGACTGTGAGCCTAGCACCAGGAGGAAGCGGTCGGACAGAAGGCACCAGACTGAGCCGCCTGCAGAAAGCACGCCCGCCAGAGGCCAGGGGCTGTGAGAGGACGCAGCAGCAACACACAGCTGAGAAATGCCCGCACATCTGTTGTGTTTAGAAACCAGCACAGCTCAGGTGCAAACAGCATGAGTTTCCTGGTGATCATTCTAAACCACCACCCCTTTTGATTGCTACCCTCCCGCTTCCCCTCCCCGGGGCATGTTCGCCGGCGGGTGAATCACAGTGTCAGCGGCTCAGGAGCAGGTCCATCCAGCTGCCAAGCAGGAGATGCTGGTCCGAGGTTCCCTGAAGCACCATCAAGTCAAGGCCAAGAAAAGCAGCTCCACCCCAGGCCCAGGGAGAAAGGGCCCACAGCACATAGCTCATGGCGCCCGTGAGTTCTCCTGAGGCGTGCACACTGGACCCTGCTGGGCACCTGACTGCCCTGTCCCTGGTCCCTCAGGAAGAGCCCAAAGCAGACAGGACAGAGCTTGGGCAGGGGGGCTCCTGAGCCTCCTGTGCCTCACCCCAAAGCTGAGCGGTGGCACCATGCCCTGTTGTGACACACACAGAGGACGAAACAAACAGGAAGGACCGTCAGCACCCACAGCCACCAGCTCCAGGCCGGACGCCTTTTCAGGCATGGCCCATGGTCCTCACCTGTGGGAAGAGCCCACCCAGGGCCACACCTTCCCAGCAGGGCAGCAAGGCTGAACGGGGGCCTCGTCCTTTACTAACAGCCAAAGCACTTTACACAGGATCCCGGCACTCCCGCCCGAGGCCCCTCCAGCTGTTCCAGGAGAGAACCTTCCACTACCACCCACTGCAGCCTGAGCTCTGCTGACTTAACAAAATGAAAGCGAGGGGCATCTCAAAGGGCCCCGCAACGCCTCCCCAAGAAATAACAGCAGACTAACACTGGACAGAGAGCACAGAGCCATGGGGCAGCCAGTGAGCACCAAGCCTGGAAAGGAGGGGAGAGCCTCACCGCACAGCCCAGCCCACCCCAGCACAGCCGGGACCCAGCATCCTGGTTTGTGGCAGGGCTGGGGAGGAGGGAGAAGACAGAAAGCAAACAACTTTGAACACATGGGTGAAGCAGAGGTGCACAGGACCAAGGGAAGAAACAAAGAACTGAGGGTCAAGGGTGAATCGGGAGAAACGTCAGCGGCCCACGGACAGGGCCTGAGGGACACCTGCATTAGGGTCAGGGGAGGTCAGCAGGAACTATGCCCTTAAAAAGGCAGCCGCAGGCTGGTGGAAGCGGCATGGCGCCCCCAGGGCCTGCAGAGGAGGCCATGGGCCAGGAACAGGGGACACCAGCCACCAGGAGCACATAGAGGTATGTGCTCCCCCATCAGAGAGGCCCCTTGCCCTCCAAGCCTGGGCCCGGCCAGGCTGCCTGTGAGCAGACACCTGTCCAGCAGGACACGTAGCCTCAGTACACAGCAGGTGTACAAACCCAGCCTGCCAGTGAATTAAAGGCGTGCCCCACAGCACACAGGTTTCAACAAGACTCATGCCACCCCCGTGCTGCCTGCTCCACGAAGAATGCTGAGTTACATAAAATTAAAATAGAGTCAGAGCTGGCTGCTCTGCCTCTTTAATCCCACGAGGAAACTGAGGATACTTCCTTTCACCCAAATTCTACATTTGCAAATATTCAAATGGTTCTCAGCACATTCTCCTTCACCCAGAACCCTGCCCCAGGCTAGTGTTGTGACAAAGAAGCCCAATTTGGACAATTGGTCCTCTGGCCAAACTGAACCTTAAAGGAAACCACTGGGTGCTATTCTCCAAGGAACACTAAAAGGAATCAAAGCAGCCATGAGAACTGTTTTGGATAATCGAGTGGCTTCTTTTTATCTTCAAAGAACCGACAGACAGTAATTAGCCTTCACACCACCCTCTGAGCTAAGAGGTTTGTTATTTCTCTTCTGCAGGTGGGTGTGGAGCAAGGCCCTCACCTCTGCCTGGGGTCACTGGTGTTGCTACAGAGTCTCCAGGCTCCAGACTGGCCCACTTACATCAGACTCCTCGGGGCAGCAAAGTGCCCAGGGCAGAGCCACTGGAGGCTGGAGCTGGGCGGTCCAGGCTCTGGGGCAGCTGCTCCCACCTGGGCAGAGGCGATGGCACTGCCCCTCAGTGCACTGGGGAGGCTGCAGGTGCTTTCGGCCTGTTGCTCACCAGGCTTTCTATGTGGTTGTTTGCTACTGTTTCCCCTTTAACAAGAGGTAGCCTCTTGTCAATGATAAACAAACTCCTTGTGAAGGGGAGATGCAATCCTAACAGCTGGTGAACAGGAGAGCAGTCTGCGGCCCCAGATGGCGGCAGCAGCACTTCGCCTGGGAAGACCCTGGCTTTGGCAGTAGGCGTTCCCGCTCCCTCCCAGCCCTTGCAGGATGCAGACAGAATCTCCCATCAGCAGTGCAAGCCGAGATGGCAGCACCTCCACCGAGTGAGCCTGGCCACAGCAGAGCCAAGTGACAGCCATTCTCGGTTTGTTTGTTTTTTGTTTTGTTTTGTTTTTTAATATATTTTATTGATTTTTTACAGAGAGGAAGGGAGAGAGATAGAGAGTTAGAAACATCAATGGGAGAGAAACATCGATCAGCTGCCTCCTGCACACCTCCTACTGGGGATGTGCCCGCAACCCAGGTACATGCCCTTGACCGGAATCGAACCTGGGACCTTTCAGTCCGCAGGCCGACGCTCTATCCACTGAGCCAAACCGGTTTCGGCCATGCTCGGTTTTAACATTTGTTTTCCTCCCTCGAATTTCCTCAGCTGGCATTAACCTAACGTTTCGATCGGGACTAAACCGAAGGTGCTTTAAAAGCTGGAGCAAAGGGCCTTGCAGTGCAATCAGGTTGCCAAACACTTGTTTCCCTCCCACAGGAGTTAAAAATCATCGCTGCAAGAGGCATGTGCTTCAAGGGAAATACAAGTTAACTCCTAGTTTCGATGGTACTTGTTACGAGTCCACCTGTTTCGCCTAACCCACACTAATGAACAGGTGGATACAAACGAAGCCAAGTGCATCAAAGGGAGCAGCTGAAATCCTGAAGCACAACACGCCTGCGAGTTTCATCATGCACAGCAGACGCCCGGCCTCTGCGGTTCAGGTCTGACGAGCTCATGGCGAAACCGCTCTCTCGCCCCGGAGAGCTCTGCGCTCGGCTTGGCTTCCTCATGCCCGGGTGGCAGCAACAGCAATTAGACCAAATTGCTCCTTCAATTAAAGAAAAGGAAACAGGACACAACCCAGAAAGACCCTAGACTTCCCCAAGGGGATGTGCCTGCCCTGCGGCCACTGCATCCGGCAGTTTCATGCGTTCACTTCCCAGGAACTCCACGGCTGCGTCAGGCAATTGCTCACTCTCTCCAGCAGCTCGCCTCTCAGATTGCCGAGGTGCGGCCCACACGCCACCCAGTGCCCTGCCTGGGGAGGGGGCACACCTTCCTCATCCTTTGCCCACACAGGGGTGGGGGCAGAAGGCTGAGCTTCTTTAAGCCTTGAGGACGTCCTTTTATTCCTCAGGGACAGGAAACAGAGGACTTCCCTGCGCCTAAGTACGGAGCTCCGAGAGCCAAACAAAGCGCACTCCCCACGCCTGGCTGGGGGGCCATGGGGAGAATGCCAGCCCTCCCAGAGCTGGAAGCAGGCTTGGTATTGCTGTTTAATGCCCAGGCCTGCCATTTGAGAATTAAAAAAAAACAGAAAATGGGGGAACACTCTTGATGATCAACAAAAATGTGAGAAAAAAGAAACCTGTGGACAAAGCAACTGCAGAAGTAGACAGAGTGGCCCCAGGACCTTCTCGAGCCAAGGAATATGCTTCAAGGGAAATAAACCTCCACTCCGAGTTTTCACAGTACTTGTCACAAGTTCACCTTTTCACCGAACCTACACTAATGATCAGGTGGGTAAAATAAAGCCGGAGCCAGGGACGAGGAAGCCATTGGGGCATTCTCACGGGGGCTGAGCACACAGGTCCCCCACCCCCACCCTCGCTGCCTGGCACAGGGAACCTGTCTCCCTGCCTGCAGGTGCCTAGGGCGGTGCCACACTCCCCTGCAGGCCACAGTGGACTGACTGACAGGCTACACTTTGTCAGACCTTCCATGGTTTTTCCATGACCTAACACTTCTTAATGTGACTCATGCAAAAAAATTAGGACTCCACTTATACCCAAACCTTCAAATAAACCCTCTCAACCCCATCCACCCTCCTTCACCAGAATTATCTCCAACATAAATGCATTGCCCCAGGATCCACGCCACAATGGTCCAGTGGGCACACGCCATGACCTGCACCACCCCTCCCTGCACTCCACACTGGGTGTCCTCCCAGGAGAGCCTCCCCCTGGCCAACTTCCATCACAGCAATTAAACAGAAAATCCCAGTAAAATCCTAACCACCACCACCCCCAAGGAGGCTGGAATGAGAGCTGCCTGTGACACAGGCAGTGTATCCGCCCAAGAAGAACACCCGTGTTCATCCATACGACACATGTGCAGACAAAATTTTAAAGACCTCATGAACAAAAACATTTAAGTTATTACATTGTTTTTAGAAAACTATTCTTACCCACCCAAGAAAACTGAATATACATGCTCAAACACTTACATACTCAAGTTCAGGTTAGCATTAGCCACAACCACAAGAGCTAAGATGCCCAGAAGTGGACTATTATCTGGGCATGAGCAGGAACGAAGGCCTGAAGGCACCATGTGGAGGAGCCTGACGGCATCACATTAACTGAGAGGAGCCAGACACCAAGGGTGCAGCGTGTGCTTCCACTTGTGAGGCGTCCAGAATAAACGAACCATGGGGGGCTGAGGCAAGGTTGGGGGAGACTGCTGATGGGTGTGGAGTTTCCTTTAGGGGTGATGAGAATATTCTGGAATGATATGTATAGTTCAGTGGCTCTACCATCACCACAACAGTTTCTTTAAAGTTGGAATAGAGCATACATCTATTCATAGAATGGACAAAAGCATGAAAAACACATTCCTTCAACAGGAATTCTGGAAATGTTTTATTTTTCCAGATTTTCCTTTTTTTTTTTAATTGATTTCAGAGAGGAAGGGAGAGGGAGAGAGAGGTAGAAACATCAATGATGAGAGAGAACCATGGATCGGCTACCTCCTGCATGGCCCACACTTAGGACCGAGCCCACAACGTGGGCATGTGCCCTGACCAGGAATCAAACCATGACCTCCTGGTTCATAGCTCGGTGCTCAACCACTGAGCCATGCTGGCTGGGCCAGATTTTCTTTTTAAATGTCTCAAATATTCTCATCATTTGAATGGCAATCCCTCCTGAAGACAATGGTAACATGAAAGAAAAGAACAGGTGCCGAGAACATTTCTGAGAGACCAAGCGGTCAACTCCCTCGGTGCCCAGAGCGTTGGGGAGAAAGGGCTTTCCTGGCGAGGGGCCCGTGGCAGGCCAGCCATCACCAGCTTACCTCCCACCTCCCATGCCCACTGCCTGGGTTATTACACCATCGCCCCACTTTCCACCAGCCCTCCTGGCCTCCTACACCTCATCAGAACCTGCAACAGCCAACAACACCCAAGATCATGACATCACACTGAGTCACGGGTCCAAACACCTCCATTTAAACACAGTCCAAAGTGTCCTGTTCTCCTGAAAGTGGGCCGTCGGCCTCTACAGCCTCACAGACAAGGGCAGGACCCACATCACCCCACTGCAATTAGAGCAGGAGGTGGAGCACACAAGAGCTGCAGAGGCTGTCCACTCCCTCGGGGGGCGGGCGGAGCCAGCCCAAGAGAGAGCTTCATGGCATGGGCAGCCCCTCTTCTATGGAACTTAAACTAGATCCTTCCTCGTTAGTTAGAAGCAGGACGGCCAGGAAAGGGTAGATACAGGCTCTGTGTTTAACCCAGTTGTTACAAACACCCTAACCTGAGTATCTGCAAAAACTAAGTTTTAAATCACCTGCCTGATTTCATTAGAGCCGTTCCAATAACTATCCTCCCTTACAGCGGGAAACCCCAGAAGGACACGCCCGTCAGCCCGCCCACCAGCCTGCTCGCCGCAGCTCCTTGGGCACCACTGCCCCCTGGTGGCAAATGCAGGCTGACGCGGCCCATCTCCACTGGAGCAGAAAGCCCTCGCTGACAACCCATGGCCAGCCCTGGGCGGCCTGAAGGTCCAGCCCAAAGCAGCAAAAAAGGCACTCGGTTCACTGTCCTCTCAGGACTGAATACCTTCCTATGTCCCAGCCACTCCAGAATGGAGTCAGGTCAACAGAACTCGTCCCCGTTGGGCAGCTCCACAGCTGACCACTGACAGCCCCCTCCCCCAGGGCAGTGTTTACCAGGGCCTGCAGCATCCCATCCATGGTGATGACACCCTCGATGGTCTGGAAGGAGGAGCGGGCCAAAGTGCACAGGCTCCAGTCCAGGAAATCCGCCATCTTCTGTTTGACATCGGGCCGTGTGATAAACCTGCCAGAAGGGAACACAGGCAGGTAGCGGCTCAACCCAGGCCCAACCTAGGAGAACTCACCAACACCCCAATCTACGAAATGAAGACACTTCCCCAACTGTGGTCCTCAGGTAGCGACTCCCCCCCCCCCCCCCCCCCGCCCCCAGACCTCTCCGAATACACATTTATAGAAACAGATTCTTCTACACAAAGATCTTTGAATCTTCTACTTCCTTCCCTTTTAGAAGTGATATCACAGCCCCACCTGCTCACACACTGAGCTCAGCCAACACGTGCGGGTATCTTAGAGATAAGCCCCAGAAGAACAACTAGAACGATTATCAGCAAAACCTTAACTACAGAACTGGACGTAGGAGAGGAACAAAGGATGCCTCGGCAAAGCGTCCATGGGACAGACAGCCACTCCGGACCATCGTGGGCACCATGACCACACGCTGATAACTCAATAAGCTGGTCTAAGAGGGCAACGGCACAGGTAGGTGACAAACCCTATTCTGTGTAAGAACTTACTGTGGTTTTTCGTTTGTTTGTCTGTTTGTTTTTCACATCCGAGAATTTTATTGGACATGGCTCTGGGCCTGGCAGGCCCGGCTCATGGCCCCCCAGCGAGGGCTGGAGGACAGTGGTTCCACACAAAACAATCTCAGAGCACACAGTAACCCCACACAGCGACACTCTAAAGATTATTATACCTGGGAGACAGGAGGGCTGCTCCACAGATGTGCAAACAGGTCAAATCTTTATAAACAAACATACAGTGAAAACGACAACTCAAATTCATCCCTATACACAGAGCACTCTACAGCAGGTAAACGGGTGGGGGTGGCCAGAAGCCACCATCCTCACTGGTCACGGGACCTGGATGGCATTATTGTGCATTTACAAGACGATAGGCACTATTGTGCATTTACAAAACCAACTACTTGGGCCCTAACTGGTTTGGCTCAGTGGATAGAGCGTCAGCCTGCGGACTGAAGGGTCCAGGTTCGATTCCAGTCAAGGGCATGTACCTTGGTTGTGGGCACATCCCCAGAGGGCGCGTGCAGGAGGCAGCTGAATTGATGCTTCTCTCTCAGGGATGTTTCTAACTCTCTATCCCTTTCCCTCTCCCTTCCTCTCTGTAAAAAATCAATAAAATATATATTTTTTTAAAAAGACCAACTACTTGGGGAGAGTGGGGGCAGCTGCCCATGCATGTGTGTCAGGCTATTCATTCTGGAATGAGGAGGGAGTGGTCTTTACAGCATATCCTGTGGCTGGTGGGCTTAGAGAGGAGCTATTCTGTGGAGAGGATGAGGGCGAAGATGAGACCACAGAGACCCAGCACCTCTGCAAAAATGAGGATCAAGATCATGTCCACAAATAGTTGGGGCTGCTGGGCAGTGCCCCACACGCCGGTGTCCCCCACAATGCCAATGGCAAAGCCAGCTGACAGCCCACTGCGGCCCACACTCAGGCCAGCGCCCAATGGGAGGAAAGTCCTATAGAGACTGATGCCTTCATTCAGGGAGTTGGCAATAAGGACTGCCACCACCAGGCCACAGATGGCAATGATGCCAGCCATGATCACTGGGACGATGGACTTCATGATCAGCTCTGGTCGCATGACGGACATGGCAGCAATGCCAGTGCCACTCTTAGCAGAAGGTGCTGAAGACCATGGTGGCTGAGGCACCCATGACCACGAAAAAGGAGGCATACTCGGGGCCGCCGCTCTTGACCTCAGACCTGTCTGAGTGGGGTGGGGGCAAGCTCAGCAGGCCGAGGTGGGGGCGAGAACCAGCTGGGCGAGGCAGGAAGGCAGCTGGCAGCGAGTGCAAGGCGAGCCATCAGAGGGCGGCTAAGGCTCAAACTTACTGTGTGTTTTTAAAGAAATTTATGGAAAAGTGAAATATTCACAAAACAGTGCTACAACAACTAAGTTACCTGTGAGGGGAAAGATCTATCGTATAACCGTATACCAAAAGAAATTCCACATGGGTTAGTAATTGTACATTAAACAACAAAAATGTAAAAAACCATAAATGACTACTTATAAAATGTGTTAATAAGACTTCAAGCTTAAAAGTAAAAATAACTAAAATAAGGGGAAAATTACTGTTTTGACTTTTTTTATGTTTTTATTGTGTGTGGTTTTTTGTTTTGTTTTGTTTTGTTTTATATATTTTATTGATTTTTTACAGAGAGGAAGGGAGAGGGATAGAGAGTTAGAAACATCGATGAGAGAGAAACATCAATCACCTGCCTCCTGCACATCTCCCACTGGGGATGTGCCCGCAACCAAGGTACATGCCCTTGACCAGAATCGAACCTGGGACCTTTCAGTCCGCAGGCCGACGCTCTATCCACTGAGCCAAACCGGTTTCGGCGTGTGTGTGTTTTTAAGAGAGAGGGAGGAAGAGAGAGAGAGAGAGAGAGAGAGACACTGATGTGAGAGCAGAACATCAATCGGCTGCCTCCCACACTCACCCCAACCACAGATCGAACCTGCAACCCCGGCATGTGCCCTGACTGGGAACTGAACTGGTGACCCATCAGTACACGGGATGACGCTCAACCAACTGAATCACACCAGCCAGGGCACCGTTTTGATATTAAAAGTAAAACTTTCGTCCAGAGGAGAAAGCAAAAGGCCACCAACCACCTAGGGTAAAGAGCCCACCCACACCCGCAGGAAGCTCACGCTAGTGAAGAAGACAGTGCACCCAGAAACCCACACACAGAAGTCAGGCCACAAAGCAGGTAGGTGAAGCCTAAGGCAAGAAGCAGGTGTTGGACCTCACCCGCTGCCAGCACCTGACACAGGCAGAACGGGGCCTGTCACTGTGGCGACACTGAGGGAGGTAACGCAGGATGCTACCTCAGTGAGACTGTGCGTGCACGGTCCCTGTGTGCATGGGCAATGCCATAGCAGCGCAGACAAAGAAAAGAAATGCAACACAGGTACTGTGCATTAGAATTATAAATGTGTGTGTGTGGGGGGGGGGGTTTCTAATTTTCTGTTCCAAAATTTCCAACTTTCCTACATACAGCTCAGATTGCTTTTATAATTAAACAAAAACATCTGCTTTTAAAATTGATGTAATCAATAGGAATAAAGTCATGTGTTTCCATTGACAAGTGTCTATAAAAGAAACTCAAATCTAAACGTCTTGGCATCCACAGAACATCAAGTTACATAAAATAGCCGGCGTTTCAGGTTCAGTTAGTAAAGAGAAACAGGAAGCTCCAGAACTACAAGTAGTGAAGGGAAAACATCTGGCCTGATTAGATAGGCAGCTCCCTCTGCAAAATACCAGAAAATAAGCAGGCAGAGGAGAAAAGCCACACGCAGCCAGCCCTGCACACCCATCACCATATTGAACAACCCACACACAAAAGACAGAAACATGGGAATCAGAGCCTGCCTGGGGCATGCGTGCTAGGAGGTGAGTTAACCTAGAGCAGCCTGAAGCCCTCATCCAATGACCACTCGCGCCCATTCCAGGAAGCCTGAGAGCAGGGCTGCACTGCAGCCTGGCAAACTGGCTGGAGCATTTTCATGCGCTGAAAACCCGACCGCAAGAACACTTGCTCCTGTTGACCACCAGATGGCGAGGGAGAGTCCCGCCAGTGGCTGAACCTGCCCATGCCAGGACTCAGGCTCTGCGGTCCTCTTTCCCCTGGAGGCCACCAGGGAGGGAATAAAAGGTTTAGGGATTCACCTCCTCCAACCACAGACTCAAAACTCCCCAAAGTCAGGCTCAGCACAAACCTACCAAACCCTCAGTAATTCTGGTAACAAATAAAAACATTTTTCACTCATAAAGTCACACACCATATTGGTAAATATGGGGAAAAGGTGACTTTCAATTTGTTCAACCTTTCCAATAACATCATTTAAAACCCCTAAAATGCTCATTCCACTTCTAGGAACTCATCCTTAAGAATCAATCAGAACAGTACAAAGTTGTATGCAGGATGTGCATGTCGGTATTAATTTTACTAACCAAATGGGGGGATAGCAGCCCACATGGCCAACAGAGGAGGTTGGAGAAACCACATTCACATCATAACCATGAGGCAGAAGACTGAAGGGAGCTCCAGGCCTGTCGGCACCTGGTACGGACACGCGTGGGCACCAACACGCCCGCAGACAAGCGCCTACACACAGTGGCAGGACAAAGGACAAAAGCAGTTCCATCTCAGGGAGATGGAAGTACATGTGAGTTCTATTTTGTACTTTGTGCTCTTCTCTATTTTCCGAAACACACGTGATCACTTTTACAATCAGAAATCAATACGCTGCCTTTCAGTCCTTGTCCAAGCCGTGGGGCCTCAATCTGGCAAGCGTCTCAGGCAGCTCACTCCTAAAATCGGCTTTTTTCGTTCAGGCTTCTTACGTTCTGTGGTTCAGCAAGTGCCTTCACAAATCTCTCTCTCAATGCCCCTAAGTGCCCTCTGAGTTAAGTGTTTCACTTCCCACTTTGTGCAAGGAGGCCATGGCTGCATAAGGTGACCCGGAATCCCTGAATGAGGTGTGGCCCATTTCCCAATCAGAATATCCACATGTTTTTAGAGCCAATTTCCAACGTTCACGAATGTAGAGGAAACCCAAAAAAGCCAAGTTTTCTAATGTATTTTCTCTCCACACACGTTTTACACCATGTCATACAAAAGATCAATTTAGAAAAACGGCGTCTTTCCATCCTCACATGTCAGCTTCTGCACGCAGTGGGCCCACCGCCTGGGTCGGCTTACCCAGCCCATCAGACAGAGCCATCCTACCTGTTTGAGGCCTGGCCCACTGTTTAGTTAACCCATCAGTGATGGCGAACGTATGACACGCGCACTCATTTTTTTGGTTGATTTTTCTTTGTTAAATGGCATTTAAATATATAAAATAAATATAAAAAATATAAATCTTTGTTTTACTATGGTTGCAAAGATCAAAAAATTTCTATATGTGACACGGCACCAGAGTTAAGTTAGGGTTTTTCAAAATGCTGACACGCTGAGCTCAAAAGGTTCGCCATGACTGACCTAGGTGACTGGGGATTTTTATCCCAAGCCACAGTGACCCAATCACAGCTCATGATCTGCAGTAAAATGCTTTCTAAGTGACTTTCAAAGGCGCGTCTAACTGCCACCACCCCAAAAGTGAGCTCATGCCCAGGTATAACTGCTATACCTATTCTAAATCTGCCCTTTGCTCAGTTGATGGGCCTATCAGGTGGCCTCCTTGAACCCGTAACCCAGTCTCAGGACTTCTGTAAGCCACTAACCCACAGTTGGGTGACCTGTACGTCCTGACCCAGGATCTGATAACCTGTGATCCCCAGCCCACTGTCAGGTGACCAATGAGCTCCTAGCTCGTAACAGGTGACCTGTGAGACCCTAACCCAGCATCAGATGACCTGTGTGAGCCCCTAACTGGCACTGTCAGTGGTCATGAGGTTCGCAGATCTCCCACACCCAAACAGAGCTGATGCTCCCTCAAAGAAAGAGACAGAAACACCTGCCCAGGCCCGTCAACCCAGTGGACAGCACAGACACACAGGTAGCACAGCATCCTGTCCTATCTAATAAAAGGCTGAGATGCAGTGTCCCCTTGGGAGTTCAACTGGCAGACCGGGAGTTGGATCGCTTGCTATGACATGTGCTGACCACGAGGGGGCAGCGCAGAACATGGAGGGCGATGGGCAGTGGAGGCAGGGCACTGAGGGAGCAAGGGAAGGAGGAAGCGGGGAGGCCAGGAGGCGGGGAACCACACTGTGGTGGTGCCAGGCAGCGAGGGAAGGAGGAGGTGGGAAGGTGGGGAGCCTCATCGGCCCTGATCACCGGCCAGGCCCAGGGACCTTACCCGTGCTCGAATTTCGTGCACTGGGCCTGTAGTGTAAGATAAACCCCTCAGAAGGCAGCAGTCACACATCCACCAACAGGGCCGCAGGAAGGCAATCGGGCACTTACTTGGACACGAGGACAGCAGCGGCGTCTCGGGCCTTGTCACTGACAACCAAGTAGGACTACAAGAAAGCAAAAAGAAGAGGTGCCATTACACACAGAATAAATCTCAGGAGGCTGCTCAGCCGGCCAGGCCTGCACTCAGGGGCTTCCCGAGAGCCCAATGCATGAAGCTCACAGACAGAGGCCAAATGCCAAAGCTGCACAAACCTCTGAACCTGAACTAAAGCTGCAGCTGTCGAGTGCTGTGCTCACCTCAGGAGAGCGCCAACCCACACGGTGTGTGTCATGGCCCTACAAAGACATCTGCAAAAATGGCAGAAAGATGGACCGTGTGTGTTACCACTGTAACAATCAGTGTCCACAGAGCACACTTGGGGCCCTAGAGCATTAAGTATCAGGGCAGTTAGGAGGCCTCATGCAAACAGAAGGGCCCCTGGGTCTAATACAAACAACTAGCTTTTCTTAGGAGGCCCGCCTTCAGAGGTTCCCAATTCTCATCTCAACTAACTTTTTTCCAAATAACACTCTTAAAAGAGCTTTTCTCTGATGCAGGCTTTCTGGAGAACAACCGCACAGGGTGTCAAATGGTTAGCAATGTACCGCCCTCATCCGGCAATCCCGCCGAGGACAGCACACAGGGACCCCAAGGTGCTCACCACCGCCTGCTGTGACCGAGCACACCTAGAAACAGTGTCCATCTGTGAGAGAGTATTTTAAAACTGGGTACAGTGGAGCACCTTTCTCCTTAAAGATTATGAGGGCGACATCTGACGTAAGACATTCGGGATGTGCTGCCAAGGCCCTGCTGAAGCGGCCAGTGAGGAGCACCGTAAAAAGCACAGGCTCCAGAGCCAAGCTGCCTGGGTTCAAAGGTGGATCCATTTATGAGAAAATGAACCAGCTAAGTTACTTATCTTTATGCCTATTGTCTCCTCAGCAAAATGATTAAAACAGTGAACTGACTCGTTAAGGATTAAACGAGTTAATATATGAAAAGCGATCAGCACAGTGTCTGCACACAATGGCGCTCAATGAATGCTTGGTATGAAAGTATGGCTGGCAGGCTGTAAGGTGACCCCGGTCCCATCGGCGGGCACGTGCACCCTGTGTAATCCCTCCCAGAGGGTTAAACACACTATTTGCTTCAAACCAACAGAATGTGTGGGGAGAGGTGGAGGTGGACATCACCCCGTGACAGTAGCCCGTCACTGTGACTGCGTCTGGCCAGCAGAGCCCGGCCTTGCTGGCTTTGACAGAATAAGCTGCCCCTTTGGGGGGCCATGCGATAAGGAACGGCCAACAAAGAATTAAGGCCCTGAGGGTCTGATTCCTGCCACCAACCAGGAGAGCTCAGAAGCATACCCGCCCCAGGGGCCTGACTGCAACCAGGGGAGACCTCCAAGCAGAAGGTGGAGCAGTCACGCCCAGAGTCCTGATCCACTGAATCTGAGGTGACACACGTGTTAAACTACTCAAGTTTAGGGTAAGTCTTTAAACAGCAGTAGATAAATAATATAATAATCTACATCTACATGCACAATATTTACATCAGATGTTTGAAGACTATATACAAGTGTTATCTCCTGGCACTAGAATTTGAGACTGTATTATTTTTGATGCTTCTCTATTTTCTAGTTTTTCTACAATGATCATGTATTATCAATATGACATTAAGATTTAAATTTAAATAGACCTTTATTTTACCTTACCATTGCCACCTGAGACCTCTTATATGTCATTATTATGCTTAGAGTATTTGCAATATCTATAAAGAAATGAAATTTGCTAAAATAATTCATCCTGACCTCTATATGAATTACCACAATTTCCAAATAAGTAATGAAATTTTACCTCTGAAAAATAATAACAGCAACTGCAGAAATATAGAAGTGTCAAGAGTGTACCTAATTAAACTCTAATATCAGGACAGCATGAGCACAAAAGAGCACTAACTATTGGTAATTACTAGTACAACCACACTCACCTGTGCTATTTGGAGAATACGGTCGGTTATGGACATTCGTGTTTGCCCTGGTTGGGTGTGAAGGTTCCCATCAAGGCGTGTAAAATCGAAAGGGATCAGGCAGGTCATGGAGAGCCACAGTAGAAGCATGTAGCGGGTCTCCCAAGTCTAAGGAGTTCAACCAAAATAAAATGATTCCTGGATAAAGGAGGGAGGTAACCCACAGGCCCCGATCACAAACCTGGTACCCTCCCTGCCCTCTCAATGCCCACTCCAGGCCCCTCAAACACCACTGACTTGAGTCTGGGGTTCCGGCCATCGCTAGCTCCTCCCCTGACTTCCCTATACCCCACACACCACACACACCCTCTTCATACAGACGTGGCTACCACAGCAGACCAAACAAACAGCAAAGTGGACAAAGGAAAATCATCACACATCAGTATGACAGCTTTTCTTCACTGGCACGCTTCAGCATGCAATCAGCCTTTTGAGGAAGTAGAAAGCACATAGAAACAGAAGATGAGAAAAAATTCTCAACTTCCCATCAGAGACAAGTGCCCAGAATGTCAGCAGTCAGTGAAGCAAGACTCCACTTTGGCCCTGGAATCACCTTCTCTGCAAGAAGCAGAGGAGCCCGGCCTGGCTCAGTGGTTGAGCGTCGACCTAGGAACCAGGAGGTCAGGGTTCAATTCCCGGTCAGGGCACATTCCTGGGTTGTGGGTTCAATCCCTGGTAGGTGGCGAGGCAGTCGATTGATGATTCTCATCAATGAGGTTTCTAACCCTCTCTCCCTCTCCCTTTCTCTCTCTGAAATCAATTTAAAAATTTTTTCTAAATATATTCAGAGAAAAAAAGAAGCAGAGGACGCCCTAGCGGGTTTGGCTCAGTGGATAGAGTGTTGGTCTGTGGACTGAAAGGTCCCAGGTTCAATTCCAGTCAAGGGCATGTACCTTGGTTGCGGGCACATCCCCAGTAGGAGGTGTGCAGGAAGCAGCTGATTGATGTTTCTAACTATCCCTCTCTCTTCCTCTCTGTAAAAAATCAATAAAACATATTAAAATGTTTAAATAAGGGGACTCGTTTCCCTCCCCACGTGGGAGTCTGAGCTTGATCTTCAATAAATCTCCACCTTTGCTATACCTAAAAAATAAAATGTTTAAATAAATAAATAAAAAAGCAGAGGAGAGCGGGAAAGGCTCACCCAAGACGTCAACAGAAATGGGGCACATTCGCACTAAGACCTTCAGGCTGTGGTTGTAACTGTGGGCTCTTCTGAATGCAACGGGCACAAGAGTGCTCCCTCCGCAGGCCTGGCTGCTCTCCTCAGAAAGGCTCGCGTCCAGGGCAGCCACCATGCCCACCAGGGGGCCTGGATTTCATTAGAGTTCCCACCATTCCCGCACTGACAAGGGTGACTCACTGTGCCTAGAGTCTAGGCCCTAGACTGACCGCACAGACCATGAGGTTCATGCTGAACACCTGCTTTCCTCTGGGAGCCTGAGGCTGCTGTCCATGCTCAGCAGAGTGCCTACAAGACCAGCCCGCACAGAAACCACGGGTTCTAGTCTCCATACCTTCCGTGGGGGACACTTCACACGTATGGTCACCACTCGGTGCTGGGGAATTACAGGTGTTCTAGGTGACCCATCCGGAGGAAGACCGGCACTTCACTGAGCATAATGCTTTCCACATAGGGATATTTCAAGTTAAAGAAAAGTGGGTGGTAAGAGGGTTATCACCACACTGTGTAAGCGTATTTTCTTTATAAAAGGAATTATTTTTTTTTAAAAAAAGATAATTTAAAGAAACGTAAAAAAAAAAAAAAAAGAAAGCCAAAAGAATCCAAGAATGACACTAAACAGCACAGTAAGGTAAAACATAGAGACAGGCAGATGACGGTGCCAGAGCAGGGGCGGAGCAAATAAGGGAAGAGAGAGGAGGGAGAGGAGAGAACATGAAGGGAGAAGGAAAGGGACACTCACTTCATGGTCCTTAGGATTCTGGTTTGTAAACATGTCTAAAACAGGCTGCACATCAGCTACTTCATGAGGAAATAAACGAAGAAATGTTTTATATCCTCGAACCTACCAAATTTAAAAAAAAAAAAGGCATTAATTATATAACTAAGAAAATAAAGGAAAAAAATTATCTTTTTCCTCATCAAAAATTACCACCAAGCCCTGGCTGGGATAGGTAGCTCAGTTGATTAGAGCAAAGTTACAGGTTGGATCCCCAGTCAGGGCACATACAAGAATCAACCAATGAGTGCAAAAATAAGTGCACAACACACTGATGTTTCTCTCTCCCCCCTCCCACCTTCCTCTCTCTCTAATATCAATAAATAAAGAGTGTGTGCCAAAACCGGTTTGGCTCAGTGGATAGAGCATCGGCCTGCAGACTGAAGGGTCCCAGGTTCAATTCCGGTCAAGGGCATGTACCTGGGTTGTGGGCACATCCCCAGTGGGAGATGTGCAGGAGGCAGCTGATCGATGTTTCTCTCTCATCGATGTTTCTAACTATCTCTCTCCCTTCCTCTCTGTAAAAAATCAATAAAATATATTTAAAAAAAAAAAAAAAAAGAGTGTGGCTCAGCGGGTGATCATTGACCCAGGAACCAAGAGGTCATGGGTTCGATTCCCAGTCAGGGCACATGCCCGGGTTATGGGCTCGATCCCCAGTGAGGGACATGCAAAAGGCAGCCAATCAATGATTCTCATTATTGATGTTTCTATCTCTCTCTCCCTCTCCCTTCCTCTCTGAAATCAATAAAAATACATTTAAGAACACATAAAATAAAAATCAATAAAAACAAATCAATAAATAAAAGTAAAAAATCACCACCTATGCCACCCAATGATCAAAGAAAATGAGATCATATTACAGTGATACAACTTAGAAACACTCATCGAGCTACAGCGAAGTGTGCACCCTCACTGGCCAAGTGCCTCTCTCCGGCATACAGCAGGCATTACTGCAACGTGTAGCCCACAGAACCACAAAGCCCACCCGAGAGGCTCTACATCACTCCATGGTGAAAATGCAAACAGTAAGTGCAGGCCAGACACAGACATCACCCGGGAGCTTATTCGAATGCAGAATATCAGGTCCCACCCAGGCAGACTTATGAAGAACCTTCATTATAACAAGGTCCCCAGGAAAAGCACCTGTACATTAAAGTTTGAGAAGTACTTTCGTTTCCATGTTTGTTTGCTTTTTCCTTGTAAAAAACTTTTCTGAATCAGTCATCTCTCTCCCTCTATTTCTAGTTAGGTGGTACCTGATCTACTCAAATGCAAATGATAAATACGTTGGATATTGTTGCAGCCAAAAGAACCCCTGGATCACTAAATATGGAACCCCAAAAATATGGTAAAATGAGAAAATAGCCCTTGCCGGTGTGGCTCAGTTGGTTGTGCATCCTCCCATGCACTGAAAGGTTGCTGGTTTGATTCCCATTTAGGGCACATGCCCTGGTTTCAGGCTCAGCCCCCCAGTAAGGGGCATGCAGGAGGCACCTGATGGACACTTCGCTCTCACATCAATGCTTCTATCTCTCTCTCCCTCTCCAAAACTTAATTAAAAATCTTTTTAAAAAGCCCTAACTGGTTTGGCTCAGTGGATGGAGCGTCGGCCTGTGGACTGAAGGGTCCCAGGTTCGATTCCAGTCAAGGGCATGTACCTTGGTTGCAGGCACATCCCCAGTAGGGGGTGTGCAGGAGGCAGCTGATCAATGTTTCTCTCTCATCAATGTTTCTAACTCTCTATCCCTCTCCCTTTCTCTCTGTAAAAAATCAATTAAATATATGTTTTAAAAAATCTTTAAAAAATAAAAAAGGGAGAGAAAAAAAATAAAACCCACAATTTATGTGTGAAAACCATCTTTTCCAAGAAAAAACATTTTTGGAAGGTAACTTCTGGACCAGGTATGTTAAGAAAGTATTGTCAAAAGAAGAAAAAAAACAAATTTTAAAAAGTGTTCTGTCAACTATGCAGTGCAAAGCAAATGTTACCTTGGTGATGATGTAAAGAAATTTAAAAGCCAGATGTACGAGGTCAACTGGAGATGTCTTATCTTGCACTATTTCCAACAACAAGTTCATCATCCACTCTAGAGAAAAAGAGACACAAAACATTTGCTATAAAATTAAACATTAATATGACATTAAAACAAAATGCCAAAAGAAAAAAGGGTTAATTTAGGCAAATTACAGAGCAAAAACTGACAACTGAAAGGAGAACCTGACAAACCTGTACCTATAGTTAACCCCTGGAGTGCCGGGGAGAGCGATCGCGCTCCTCCTGTCTTTCGCCAGAAGTGCCGGGAGCGCTATCAAAGCTTCGAAATGGCGTCCAGTTGTAAGTGTGCTTTTATTAGTGACGATGATACTGCTAAATATGTCAATGTAGTAAAGGTTTCCTTAAGTTTTTGAATATGTAACTTCATTTACTTGCGATTCATAATTTTTTTCCTAAACTGCTGTAAAATCTGCAAAAATGCCTTGGCAATTTTAGCATAGTTCCTAGGATATTGGTTGGCACTCAAAGGGTTAAAGATTTCTACACTCCTCTCAGAATTGATAGAACAAGTGAGAAGAAAAATCAGTAAGGACATGATCAACTCAACAGATGCAGAAAATGCATCTGACAAAATCCCACATCATTTTATAATAAAAATTCTCAACAAAGCGCTAATAGAGGGAACATATCTCAACATCGTAAAGGCCATATATACAAGCCCATAGCTAGTATCTCCCCCAGCGAGGTTATCAAGCAAGGATTAGTCTCCTGCCTGCGACAGGAGAGTTCAGAAAGCTTACCTTCTACAAAACCTGTCCGTTTCTTGAAGAACAGCACCAGCCCACTTTTCAGAAGTCACATGTGTGCACAAAGCTAACTCTTCCTGCCTACACATTCCCGGTTCACATCTTTACACCTCACAGCCCTGCTAACAAGTAAGACCCAGGCACTTCATCCTGACACCTTCTGCTGGCAAGCACACATACACACACACAAGCATGCACATACACACACGCACAAGCATGTGCACGCATATGCACACAGGCATGTGCACACACACGCACAGAAGCATGCACACACGCACAAGCATGCACACACACACATGCACAAGATACTCACACAAGCATGTGCACATACACACACAAGCATGCACACACGCACAAGCATGCACGTGCACACAAGCATGCGCATACACACGCACAAGCATGTGCACACACGCACAGAAGCATGCACACATGCACAAGCATACACATACACATGCACACAAGCATGCACGCACACACATGCACAAGATACTCACACAAGCATGCACACACACGCACAAGCGTACACATACACACACACACAAGCACGTGCGCACACAGCACACAGCCCGCACTCACAGCAAAGCTTTGTGGTCATCGGGAACTGGGTGACCACAGTCAGTCAGCAGCCTATTCTTACCAAGGTGTGGGTCCAACAGGTGAGGCTGCTGCTGGTATTTGTCCATTATCACTAGAGAGAAGAATGTGAGAATTAATATCTCCAAGACAACATGCACAGGAGCCTCAGAATCTCCAGTTTTCCTCCCCAGCCCCAGCCCGTGCAGCTCCCAGGCCGCGGGACACCGGGGTGCGCGCCTCGGGGCCACTGCGTCCATCCGGCCTCCTTTCCTGGCCCGCTGGGCACACCTTCCTCCCGGGGCCTCGTCCCCCTCCTTAGACCTTCTACAGCCCGGCTGTTCTCCCTTCATTAAACACACACCTTCCGCTCCTTTAACGCCCCTCCAGCATCCCCAGCAAGGTGCAGTCCCGCTGCGCGATCGGCAGATCTCCTATCCCCACCTGCCCCAGCCCCTCCCCGCCCCTCCCCGCCCCCTGCACACCGGGCGGCCTGGCGTCCACTCCTCCCGGACGCTGCAGTGGCCCCTCGCCCATGGCAGTTCTCACCTGCCACACGCCTCCGCGTGACCACTCGCCAGGAATGGGAGGTGGGCTTTCCCCGCCCCTGGACACCCACCTCCCGCTCCAGACAGCTCTGTCCACAGATCCTGTTAGTGCTGACCCCTTAGCCAGCCTCGGGCACGGGCACTGGGTCCCCGGGTGTGAATCCTCTCGGGACCAGGTGCCGAAGCACACGCTGCTCCCACGCAGCCGGCCACAGGGCCCCCGGAGAACTCAGAGGCCCACAAACGTGCTTTTACCGAATCACAGAACCCTAGGTCACGAGCTCTGGGTCCTGATACAGACAAAGCCGCAGACTCGGAGAACGTACACCAGCCAGGGCCCCGCCCGGAGCGCTGCGCGCACCCCACGCCCTGGAGCGCGGCTCCCGCACGCACAGCCGCGGCCTGTGGGCTGGGGTGTCCCCGGGACGCCACGCGGCCTGGTCCTGCGCCTTCCGGGCCAGGAGCCACGTTCTGCGGTGGCCTGAGCTCAGTGACAGCGGGCAGAGGCGGAGAAAAGGCCCAAGAGGTGCCGGCCAGGCTCCCTCGGAACCAGGAGGTCAAGGTTCAATGGCGGGCCAGCGCACAGGCCGGCTCCATCCCCAGCAGGGGGCGTGCAGGAGGCAGCCAGGCCATGACTTTCTCCTCATTGACGTTTCTCTCTCTCTCTCTCTCTCTCTCTCTCTCTCTCTCTCTCTCTCTCTCTCTCTCTGTCTCTCTCTCTCTCTCTCTCCCCCCTTCCTCTCTCAAATCAATAAAAATGAGATAAAAACAAAAAGACACGAGAGGTCAGTCCGTTAAGTGCTGAGACTCTGGTTGGGCTCCCGGTGACTCCTGTCCTCCAGCCCAGCCCGGCAGGGCCCCCCGGCGCCGCACCTCGGCCCACGGAGGGCACGCAGCTCCGCGGGGACCGGGATGGGCACCAGGACGGGCACCGGGCCCAGCCGGGCCGGCGGCCGCCTGTCCCTCCCCTTAGCTGCAGCCAGGGAGGCTTTTGCAAAATAACGCTCAGCTCCCCTCCCCACTCGGCCTCGGGGTGTGGGCTGCCTCCCAGGATCGGTCGGCGGTTTTCGGCTGCGGAGGGTTGGGGGGCGTGCCTGGGAGCCGGTGCCGCCAGCAGCCCAGGCGTCACGGGTCCCGCCCCAGAGCGCGCACCGACAGCAGCGCCAGGGCCTCCCCGCGCCGCGCCCCGCGTGGGCCGGCGCTCGGGCCGCACGCACCTCGGAACCGCTGCAGGGCGCTCTCCCGCGCCGCGCAGTCCCCGAGCACCTCGGGCAGGCGGCCCAGCAGCGCGCGCGTCTCCGCGCTGTCGCCGAAAGCCTCGAAGGTGCCGCCGCGGGCCGGGGCCCCATCCTCCGGCGAGTCCTCCGGCGAGTCCTCCGCGGCGCCCGCGGCCGGCTCCTGATCCAGGCCCATCCTCGGCGCTGAGGCGGAGCCGCCCCTGTAAGTCGGCGGGATGCAGGGCGGACGACGCTGAGGCGACCAGGCTGAGAGCCGCGAGGCAGCGGCGGAGCGAGCGGCGGGCGCGGACCCCGCCCTGTGACCTCCGACCTCTCGCGCTGGGCCCGCTACGGTGCGCGCCGAGGAGCGGGGGCGGGGCCGGGAGAACCGCGCCCAGACGGCCTGCAGCCGGGGCGCGTGCGCAGTGGAGTCCGAGCGGGTCTGGGCCTGGGCCAGTGGAGGGGGCGGGTTCATGGGGGAGGGGCCTGGGCCAGTGGAGGGGGCGGGTTCATGGGGGAGGGGCCTGGGCCAGTGGAGGGGGCGGAGCCCATGGGGGAGGGGCCTGGGCCAGTGGAGGGGGCGGAGCCCATGGAGGCGGGGCCTGGGCCAGTGGAGGGGCGGAGTCCAGGAGTCTCACTGATTCTGCCCACAATGGCAGTTTGTATTTGAGACCGTCAGATGTTTGGAAGGAAGCGTTTGGGATGGACTTCTTTCTAGAAAGCTGTCAACAGGCTCCTCTGTCTGCGCTGGGAACAAATCCGGCTAGACAGTCGCACTTTACAGAAAAGGGACATTTGGCGCTGTACTGCTACGAACTAATGGGCAATTTTTCCAGAAGTAGCAATCACGTGGTCCCCTGACTTTAGAGACACACACATGGGTGGCCATGATGCCCTGAGACCCTGCCAGGCACTGCCTGTCCCCAGGCAGATACCTTCAACGGTGACAGCCCTGACATCCTGAACCAACAGGCCACGTGGACATCCCAACCCCCTGTACACCACAGACATCCCAGCTGTGGGGCACACCCCACTGCCCAAGGCTCTCTCCCAGCCTCCCGCCTCCTCCTTATCCAGAGAAAAACACACTGGCTGGGAAATGGGGAGACGTAGAGAGGCTGGGCAGTGGCTGCAGCCCAAATGCCAGTCCCCACAACTATTGGGGGCCCTTCCTTGCATCTGTCTCACCTTAAGGGTGGACTTGAAGCCTCCCCCACTCAGCCCCAGAGGTGCTCCTTAGGAAGTGGGCACAGCCCAGCTGGTGTGGATCAGTGGTTGAGCATCAGGAGGCCACGGTTCGATTCCTGGTCAGGGCACATGCCTGGGTTGCAGGCTCAATCCCCAGTGTGGGGTGTGCAGGAGGTAGCCAATCGATGATTCTCATCATTGATTTTTTTTCTCTCTCTCTCCCTTTCCCTTCCTCTCTGAAATCAATATATTAAAAATATTTTTTAGCCCTAGCTGGTTTGGCTCAGTGGATAGAGTGGTGGCCTTTGGACTAAAGGGTCTCAGGTTCAATTCCACTCAAGGGCACATGCCTGGGTTGTGGGCTTGATCCCCAGTAGGGGGTGTGCAGGAGACAGCCAGTCAATGAATCTCTCTCATCATTGATGTTTCTACCTCTCTCCCTCTCCCTTCCTCTCTGAAGTCAATTAAAATATATTTCTTTTTTAAAAAGTGGGGCACAACTCATGGTGCCCAACACTGCCTGAGCTAAAACAGGAGCCCCACGTCCACAGGACAATGGGGCACCATTTTCTGCCTAAGCAAACCCCAAACCTATGTGAGTTTCTATACAATTATGATGAAAACATCCAAACTTCAAACATCCCCCAGGCTGTGGTAGGCAAAGAGCCCGTTGGAGCCCTTTCAGGTGGTCTGGGCACCCTGTAAACCAGCCCAAGTGCACGGAGGGTGGAGACACAGTAAGACTCAGCGGTTCCGTCCCCGAAGGCCCCCCTGGCTTTATTAGCCCCTGCAGCCACCTCTGCTGTTGCTGCCCCTGGTATCTACTAAGCGGGCGGGCAGGTGGGCAGGGACACAGGTGGGCTGCTACTTGAGAAGCTTCCTCATGGTGCCCAGGGTCGGGCTCCTGTACTCCCTCCCAAAGTGGTTCCAGTGGTTCAGGTAGTTAAAGAGCTGGTAGAGCAGCTGCCGCTGGTCGAACCCTGGAGCCTTGGGGATCTTCCGGTGGTAGGCGGTGAAGAAGGACCTGGGGAAGCCGCCGAACATCAAGGCGATTGCCAGTTCAAACTCAGAATGGCCATAGAAGGATGCTGGGTCGTAGATAAGGGGTCCCGAGTCGTCCTCGGCCACGTTTCCTGACCAGAGATCCCCGTGAAGAAGTGCGGGGACAATCTCTAGGCCACGAAACAGATCCGGGATCTTCACCTAAGGAAATAATATTGGACACACAGTTATGGGACTTTGAGCCACGGTTTCCTCATGCAATACGGGGAACGAAGGCAAAGATGGCCTCGTGTTTGTTCAGTGTCAAAGCAAGCCCAGGGCAGTGGAACTTGGTCTAGAGACTCAGGCCCGAAGCTCCATGACACTAATGATTTACATATGGTGTCAAACCCCAGAGGTGATGGTTTTATCTCCTATAGAATAGGAATCATATAACCTGAACTGTATAACCTGAGTGAAGGTATTTTTTTTGTACCTAACTTAACAAACTTTTCCACTATTCTTTTATTTCACATCACATGCATCTGCACCTCTTTTGTATCCCATCGGTTACGTCATTAAAGAGTTAAATAAGCCCAGAGGGTGTGGCTCAGTGGTTGAGACTCGATTTCGGGATTCATCCCCAGTGGGGGGCGTGCAGGAGGCAACTGATCAATGAGTCTCTCTCATCATTGATGTTTCTATCGCTCTCTCTCTCTCTCCCTTCCTCTCTGAAATCAATAAAAAAATATTTTTTAAAGAGTTAAATAATAGCCAGAACCGATTTGGCTCAGTGGATAGAGCGTCGGCCTACGGACTCAAGGGTCCCGGGTTCGATTCCGGTCAAGGGCATGTACCTTGGTTGCGGGCACATCCCCAGTGGGGGGCGTGCAGGAGGCAGCTGATCGATATTTCTCTCTCATCGATGTTTCTGGCTCTCTATCCCTCTCCCTTCCTCTCTGTAAAAAATCAATAAAATATATTTAAAAAATAAAATAAAATAAATTCTTTAAAAAAAAGAGTTAAATAATAGTTCTTCAATGCATGCTCACTCTAGATTGACTTGAGAGTTCTGTTTTTCACATTTTGGGTGTTGCTTTGAAACCAGTCCCTCGGGCATCTTCTGCCCACATCTGCTCTAAGAAGTAAAACATTCATGCTTCGGCAGAAAAGGGTAAAAGTGGGCAAGAAAGTAATAGTAAATGCCACCTTTACGATCCCAGTACCTGTGTTTCACATGAGCAAAGACTGAGGTTTAAGAACCCAGTGACCTCAGGGCTGGAGAGGTACACTCAGGGGCCGAGGGTATGTCCTCCGGCCCCACCCCTCCCCGCTTCCCCATCAGGCCAAGAGGCGCCATGTGTCCTGGACTTGACCAGCTCCTCTCCGGGGCTCAGTGGTCCCAACTCCAGGGCCCCACACAAATGTGGTGGCTCACAGGGGGACAGCCCCTCTCGCAGAAAGCACCTGCTGTGCCCACCTGTAGCTGCGACCAGAGCTCTCGTGCCTCTCGATCAGCATAGTCCTTCTCAATGAGGTCCAGCTGCGCTTGGAGCCGGTGCCGGGTGAAGAAGGCCGACCAGTCGTCCTGCCACTCATTCACCTGGGCAGCAAGGGAAAGGAGGTGGATGCTGCAGGTGGTGGTCACAGGGCAGTTATACACGTGCTTTGCCTAAACCTTAGATCAACCGCTAAAAGAACACAGCCTCAGAGGGTGGGTGGGAGGTAATCAACCAAGGACCTTGTATGCATATATGCATGACCCATGGACGCAGAGAGGGTCAATGGGGGAAAGAGGGGGTCATAGGTAATACTTTCAACAATAAAGAAATACTTTTTTAAAAAAGAGATGCAAAGAGCTATTTGCCACCAAATAATCTTATCTAATAAAAGGGTAATTGCCGGGGTCCAGCCCCAGCGGGTCCAGGGGTCCCCAAAAGTGTAGACGGAGTCGGCGAAGAAGGAAGGACACGGAGACAGTGTTCAGTTGATCAGCAGCCTAGCCAGGATCTCCAGCCAAGTTCTGGTCTGGATCTCCAGCGAAGTTCTGCTTCAGATCTCCAGCCAGGTTCTGTGTCCATGTTCTCTTGCTAGGTTCTCCAGCCAGGTTCAGTCCAGGTTCTCCAGCCAGGTTCAGTCACCAGGTTCTAGTCAGGTTCTCTTGCCCATTTCTGTAGTCAGGTTCAGTCCAGGATCTTTTGCCATGTTCTCTCCAGCGAAGTTCTTCTGTCTCTAGTTCTGTGTGTTCTGTCTTCTTACATCTGTATTTATACCAGTTGATTCCAATCCTATCAATCTCTATTTCAAAGGTTAGGGCGTTTCTTATCTCCATTCCAGGGAGTAAAGATTATGTAGCTTAAGCATGATTGTTCATAGTTGAAGTGATTAATTACCCGCCTGGCACTTAGTTAAGAGGTTTTATTCCCTCCCTAACTTCAGGGGAAAATCCCTACCTGGGGAAACAACCTTTCTCCGAGAGGAGACCTTGGTTAAAACACATAGTGCCAAGAAGGTGAGCAAACATATTAAGAACAGTATGCCATATATGCCAGGTCCCTTGAAACAGCAAGGATGGACCGGATCCCGGCAAATTCCCCCTTTTTTATTTTTTAAAAGCAGGCATTAAAAAGAAAAACCCGAAATGCTCTCTTGTATCCATTTTAAGAGTAGGATTGGCGCTTTCCGCTATTACCTGAGTCCTGATCTATCACCCCAGGGAGAGCTTGCCAATCCTGCACTTTCCCGGGGTGGAAAGGCTGCAGTGGGGTTAAGGATAAGGCTCCTTGGGCCTACCTTCTCCCATGCCTCTACATTTACCTTTCCGGCACCTTTCCTTCCTCAGAAAAGCATGGACATATTTCTTGTATAAAATGTTCCATCTGACTGGGAGTAACCTTAACTCCTCTGCTAGCAAACATATGTGTTAAAAGATCAATACGGAGTCTTTTTTCTTTAGACTCAGTATGGCACATCTTCTTAATGTAAAGATCAATACAGAGTCTTCTTTCTTTGGACTCAGTATGGCACATCTTCTCACTCTAAGAATCAATACAGAGTCTGCTTTCTTTGGACTCAGTATGGCACATCTTCTCAATCTAAGTTCTGTACTATCCACCTTCTTACCCTACTTATCCTCTATAGGGGGGTCTGTAGCACCGTGGTGGAGTCCTAT